TGTCATCGGTTGTTGGGTTCGCGTAGGGATTGCAGAGCTCTAATCTAAACGGCATTCTTTGTTGACAGGCAGGTGGAATAACCTTCAAGGTCGGTCTTGTCGAAGGTACAGGAATGTACCCTCTTCGCCGTTGGGGTCGAATTCTTTCGATCACGTCGACTGTTATTGTTGATTGTGTGTCATGTTTTCATAATGCTTGTAAACTTCAAAAAGACTTTTAACTACAGAGCTTTGAACTGAAGGTAAAATCCAATAAAAGGTCCAATTAGTAGATTATTTCCCTCTTTGTTTATTGCGAGACATGTCAAATAAAAAACGTTACAAACAATATATTGCCTTGTACTAGATGAATATGCCAAGGTGCCCCAACTAGCTTACTAAATAACGAAAAGTTTTTAATTCAATTAAAATTATTCTAATAAATAAAACCAAAAAAAGTCTGTTTAGTACAATAAAATCTATTTTTTAGAGGATCTGAAAACGCTTCAAGTTCCTCAGCTTCCACTATGACTGGAAAAGAACTACTTTTTATTGGAAAAGAACTAAAATGAAAGCACTTGAGTAAAAATGTAAATTATTTCTGAAAATTATTAAAACTTTCCTCAATCTCCAGCAATTTCGTGGTGTGCATGTGTTCCAGGAAGGAAGAAAGTGGCGCCATGAGACAGATCACCAACAAAGAGTAAAATTAATTAGCCATGAAAGCAACACAAAGATGTCAACGGAAGGAAACAGACAATTTATAGAACTGTAATACTAAGACACGTTGATTAAAATTTACAGATTTAGGAAAGTCAGAAGTTATTAGTGGTTCCTCTTTTCTTCTTTGATTCTTTTTGTAGCTTACAGAAAAAGTAATTAGTCTATTAATTCTTGTTTGTAATTTTTTTCAAAAATAAGAAAACGTGTTTTTTATCAGTATTGTCTTCAAACAATTCCACCAGTTATTGATGTTAACCCACCTTTATCTAATAACTGTCTTTGATTTGCTTTAATAGTAAAAAGAAATGTTTTTGGCATGTAGAGGTGAAAACTGAAAAAATAAAACACTTCAAGTTTTATGAAATTGACACTATTCGAGCAAAAACAGGATTTTAACAAATGGTTTGTGTTTTCATTTACAGCTGTCATCTGCAATCGTAAAAAGATAAACATTCAGATTATTAGATTAGTTTGCTTGACCATGTAACCCACAAAAAATTGCTTTATTCGGTGAAAACCTTCTTGTAACAAACGACCCCCTTTTTAAGGATAATCTCGGTGTCTAAACACTAAAAATTTTAACACTTTGTGGTCAACAATTTTTAATTTACGCACTGAAAATAAATTACTTCATAACATCTCAGGTAGCTAGATAATCTTAGTAAACCGAAACCAAGTAAGATAACAACTGTAAAAGAATTTTGTGTGAAAGAATCTTAACTTTTTTTACTTTTGAATTTTTACTCCAAGCGTAGGTAACGTTAGTTTAGACCAGAAAGTGATTTTAGTTTACCAATAAAATAAACATCAATATTTCTTATCTACCTTGAGAACACTTGTTTGTATAGAGACTAGACTGGATGTTGGCAAATGTATCCACTGGTTTTGCTGGTTTTATTAAAAACAGGTAGTTAATAGCATTTAGTAGTTTCACTAGGTTTAGATGGAATGTCATTTACTAACGAAGAGAAGGTTTTTTTCACTGTTGTAATTAATTATTGCATTTAATTAATATACGACGATAAACTTCGTGTGAACTCTTACATAAATCTATTTTTGACATTTCGTATCATCGGTGACATCTTGTGACCCACTTAATACTCTGTTTTATTATACAATGTGGTTTTAAAATACACAACAATATTTAATTAAAGTCGTACAAAAGTATAGACTATAGACACTATTAGCATTTAATGTCAGATTCAAAAAACTAACATTTTTTTTTCCATCCCATTCACCTCATCCATGGATTCTCAACGGTGAGTCAGAGGCGTACTCACTTTTTGAAAGTAATAAATTTTCATAGCGATTTTCTCCCTTTTATGGGCTGTTTTAACAAAAGCATATACATATTTTCATAGCTTATGGTAAGTCTCTTAAAGATTTATGGGTTTAAATAGTGTTGTTTATTTCAAAATCACTCTGTATAACAAACAAAACTTATTATTTAACAATAGTTTTTAATCAAAGAGGTCTGTGACTTTGATATTAAGTTGTCAACACTAAAGGCAGAAGTTGTCCTTTGAGTATAAATTTTATTTTAATAAAAATTATAAAAATAAATAAAAATAAAATAAATAAAATATAAAAATAATTAAAATAAATAAAAATAAAATAATTTTTTTTATTGCAAATTATGCAATCGGATCTTGCAGTAACAGTTGATTACTTCCTTGACTAGTGTAAAATGGTGATCTGCCTGCCCTCAGAAAATAAATGGTTAAATCTTTGTCCTGACATTGCCAACAAATTTCTGGACACTGAATATATTATTTGAGGGACCAGCTCCTTGGATGGCACACTATTTTCTGTGGATAAAGAGACGCAAAACTATTGTCGTATCAACAAGAAATTACTCCCTAAAATTTAAGGATATTCGTGAATAGGTTTCCATAAATTTGGTTAGGTTGGTTTTTGGTGACAGATTAAAAGTGTAAATTAGTCTAGGTTTTCTTAAACTTTTTTCAGAATTTTGATTAACGTTTGTTATGGTAGTCCTTGGTATGCCCAAAAGTATAGAGACACGTCTTTGAGACATACCTTCTTGTACCAGAGAGATAATTTTTATTTTATTAAACGCACTTACTGCTGGCATGTTCGAATTTGATTAAATTTGACAATACGTATTTGAATGTCAGTTATCATGACAATAAAGCACAGATTACAGCGAATTTTTGTGAATTCACAGAAATTAGGTGGACGAAATTCACTGTCCATCACTGTACCTACTGATTTTTTTTGGTCTTTACAAAATTGTTCTTCTATTAATAATAATTGTTAATTATTCTATTAATAATAAACAATGCAAATATTTATAAACGTCTGATATTTATATGAATTATTATAATTATCAATAATTATTATGGTTCCAAATGTAGCAGTAATGAATTTTTCTATATTTATTTATCTCCCGCATAATATATTTGCATACATTTAAGGTATTCAAAAAGCTGCTTATTTTTAGCCAATAACGATCAAATATAGCGAAAATTCTGCACTAGTGCAAATCGTCGACAGTTTGGACTAGTGCAGTATTTTCGTTGCAATTTCCGTATAAAAATTTAAAGAAAAAACAATTTTTGAACATGCAATTTCGCTAAATTGTATCATTTAATTTTTTTTTAGGAAAGAGTCTGCCAAAATACTCCTCGTGCATACCAAATTGTTTTGTGCATTCTGTATATTCGATAAAAATTGTCGACAATTTGACATGTACCTATTGGCGATATTTATTATTCTTATCAAATTGCGTTTTTAGATGGTGTAGTTTTTATTAAAATTTGTTCATTAGCACCATATATAGATTGCAGGAAGATACATTGCATGTTCCGTTTGAAATTGGCTGAGAAATCTTAAATTTAATCTGTAAACTCGAACTTTAATCGCAACAGTATTCAAAATTCGCTCCACGATTGTCAGCGTTCAAGCATCAAAATGGCGTCATCTTCTATCTGCTTTTATTTCCTGCGCATAATCGTGCACAAACGGTCTATAGCTAGTATATGTATCTAGATATATGATCACCACCAATAATTCAGTGTTGACAATCACAAGGTTGTTCTTCTACAGTGTTGCCAGAAAGTCACAGACCACTTTGGGAAAAAATTTAGTATGTAGTTTAAAAATTGAAAAAATGGCAACTTACCATGAAAAAATAAATTTAATACTACAATAACACAAGAATAATAATTTATACAATCATTTTACAAAAGTAGGTATAATCGATCAAGATTTTAATTAATTTTGTCCCTTTTAAATGTACGACCTGTAATGAAATGAAACCAACAGGTCAGCTAAACGATAAATTATTTTCTAATTAATGGTTATGTTGTGTTCCCAATAATAACCAGAACATAGATTTTTTTATTTTGGAAGTGATAAATATTTGTAAAATATGTAAATACATGTTGAAATGTTAACTATTTTTCTAAAAATTAAATCAAATAAGAGAAAGAGGAGAAAGTTGTGCTTCTAATAATGAGTAACAACAGTAAACTGTACGTTTGAAAAGTAAAATAAATTATTATTGAATTAAAAAAAATCAACTAAGTATTTTGAAAACCTTGAAGAGATCATTTAACTACAACCTGTGTAATATACTTTATAATATTTTATTTTGAAACTTCCGGCACTAACCGAAAATTTCGTCACGTCTGATTTATTTGTTTTGGAGTTTTACATTCTGTACATGCGTTAAAGAATTTAAATACAATAACACCTCGAAACAATGTTTTTTCAGGTACAAGGGAATAAAAAGAAAAAAGGTACAAATTTTAAACCAAGTTAAACAAACTCACGTGGTTTGACACCTATTGAAACATTCTTTAAAAATCCCGAGAAAAATAAACAAAAAAAGGTTAAAGTAAATTATGATGATCCTGATACCTCATTTACTAATTTGAATGCGTGCCTAATCATTTAATTCAAATAGAATTACGAAATGGTTAAAATTAATTCGATTATTGAACTCGTCACTAACCTTGAGACTGTCTTACTTAGTAAAAAAATCAAAGAAATTCAAAAATAACAATTTAGAATGACTCAAGCCTTTTCACAAAACAAATATAAGCAAAAATTAAACAACAATGGAATATCAAGTTTCAAATGTAATGCAATCGTGGGAAGTACAGCTTATCTTACTTTACACCAAAGAATGCCTTTTTTCGTTTCACTTTTCTTCCCAGAAGTTTTATAATCAATTTCGATATTTTACTGACGGCATCGCATCTCCGAAATCAAAGAGAAAAATTAAAAATCAACACCTGGCCGCAGCGTTACGAACGAGTTTTTTGACTCACCTCAGGTAAATTCGAAACTAAATTATTGTTAGCTATGTTATCCATGGTTGTACAACAAATTCAGCACCACAACACCGACACCACGACACCAACAACACACTGATGGACATTTAAACTTGACAACACGTTGTGGATTTTCAGTCACCGAATTAACTCAAAGCTCACACGAAATGAATTTAAAATCCTTATTGTGCACGTTTGTAGTTGATACAAGTTATCATATTTCTTACAATTCGAAAAAAAAAGTAAGTACCTAAGTGGACAAGTTAGCGTCGTTTCATAATGCGTCTAGCAACTAAACTGACTTAAGAAAGTCCACCGTCCCTTCTCTTTCTGTTACCGGTTGAAGGCTGTGGACCAACAACGCGACAACTAATCTGTCGCTGCCAGCATTCGAAACCGTCTTAGGCTATTTGACCTTGGTCATCGATTAGGTGAAAACGCAAAATGTGCCAGAACGACCCATTGTTGCCTGCCCACCCTTGTACTCTTATTTTAATTACGATTGATTATTTTTATGTTCATTAAATTTATCGTTTACCTAATTTCAGTTTAATATTTAAAAAAAGTTCGTATCATACATATTTCACTTTCGTTTAATGGTGTTGCTTATTTACAGGTGCATTTTAATAATTCGTTATCTTAATTGATTTACCTTTAAATAGTTGTAATTATAAAGTATATACAGGGTGCGCCAGAACTAGCACCCCAGAGAAAAATGCCATACAAGGTAAGATACCAGGAACATGGAAAAAATGTTAAAAAAATTTTATCAATAAAAATTTCGAAGTTATGAGGGATTAAAGTTTGCACTTTGACTCTATTGATTTCTGTTGGAAAAATAATTTTCCAAGTTTCTTTTGTTGTAGGCTATTAAAAGAGGAAACAAGGAAGCTGTATCCTAAATTGTAACTCTGTTCAATGTTATTTGTGGCTTTTATTGTCAAAATTTGTGTACCTTTACTAAATAATTGTATAAAAACATATACAGGGTGTTCCGTCTAAATCCCACTTTAGAAGTATTGGGAGTTGCAATAATCGTATTTGTTTGAAAATTGGTAAATGAAAATATTTTCAAGATGGCGTCACTTCCGCTTATACCGGAAGTCGGTCTCAACATTCTTATTTTAAATGGAAAGGTATATTTTTTACTGCGTTTTTGGATTAATTGGGTTATTTTAAGGAAATTTTCATCAGCTTTCCCTATACCTAAATTTAGCCGTTTTTGAAATATTTGGAGTTTTTCAAAAATTTTTGGATTTGCACCTTCCACTTTAAAAACCGGTAACTCTGCTATTTTTTAAAATTATGAATTCGTTTTTTAGGCGTTTGAAAGAGAAAGTTTAGATCTTCCTTTCGGCGTTTTCAAATTTTGAAAAAAAAATTAACAAACCATAAAATTTTAAGGTTACTTTTGTAATAATTCAAATACCCATAACTCAATTTTTTCAAATGAAATACCCCAATTTTTATTATACTAAATGGAGGAGAATTTAATTCTGCATCGATCTGTATTAACATTCCCTATACCTAAATTTAATCATTTTTAAGTTATGGTGACTTTTTGTTGAGACTGCCGAAAATCTGTTATTAGCCACATTCGTTTTCGTATAGTTTGCTATGGAAATAAAAAATGTCAAAATTGTTTCTCAATAAATGTCGACAGTGACTTATTATTTGACAAATAGTGCCAAAGTATGGAGAGTCAAAGCTACTCAAACTTAGATTTAATTAATTTATTTTGTATTTATGGAGAGTGTAACAAAATTAAACATGTTCATTAAACAAAAATAAACTTTTCTCACTTGTTAGCTTTAAATAATGATTGCATGGTAGAAGCTATCAATAATTAAGTTTGCATAACTTTGATTCTCCATATTTTGGCACTATTTGGCAAATAATAAGTCACTGTCGACGTTTACTGAGAAACAATTTTGACATTTTTAATTTCCATAGCAAACTATGTGAAAACGGGTATGGCTAGTAATAAATTTTCTGTAGTCTTAAAAAAAAGTCCATAACTTGAAAATTATTAAATTTAGGTATAGGGAATGTTAATACAGATCAATGCACAATTAAATTCTCTTCTATTTAATAAAATAAAAATTGGGGGTATTTTATTTGAAAAAATTGTGTTATGAATATTTGAATTATTACAAAATTTAAAATTTTAAAATTTTGGGATATGTTATTTTTTTTCAAAATTTGAAAACACCAGAAACAGGATCTAAGCTTTCTCTTTCAAACGCCAAAAAAACGAATTTAAAATCTTAAAAAATTGCAGAGTTACCGGTTTTTAAAGTGGAAGGTGCAAATCCAAAAATTTTTGAAAAACTACAAATATTTCAAAAACGGCTAAATTTAGGTATAGGGAAAGCTGATGAAAACTCCCTTAAAATAACCCTATTAATCCAAAAACGCAGTAAAAAATATACCTTTCCATTTAAAATAAGAAAGTTGAAACCGACTTCCGGTATAACCGGAAGTACCGCCATCTTGAAAATATTTTCATTTAGGAGGACTTAATGGTTTATGGCTATGTACGAATTTTCAAATAAATACAATTATTCCAACTCCCAATACTTCTAAAGTGGGGTTTAGACGGAACAGCCTGTATAAGATCATCAGTGTCATTAAATAGACATAAAAAATGTCATATGTCAAAAAATAAATGTCAAAATTTTTTGACAGATAGAATTTTTTAAACATTTTTTCCATGTTCCTGGTATCTTACCTTATTTGAAAATTTTCTCTGGGTCGCGAGTTCTGTATGTGCGCAGGTTTTCTTCTGTGTCAAATGAAAGTTGCTGTTGCTGGTGAAAAATAAACCACTAACAAACGATTTTTGAGACCTTATGTTTAGGCTGTTTGTAATAAATACAGATTTGACAATTTGTCCAATAGTGTCTTATGCAATTTGAATAATAGTAAAAAGGCATTTAAATTTCCACAATTATTTATTATCTGTAATAAAAATTTGGGACCCCATAATAGTAGTTGGCTCGAAGAGGTTGGTGATTAAATTATAATACATGTACAGGGTGATTTTTATAGGGCCTACATTAAAAACTTTTTTTATTTCCAATGTAGCTGCGGCTTTAAAATTTTGTTTGTGACCAAAATCGACAAATCTTAATTTAAATTATTTTGAAAATGGCTAAACTTTCGAAACTACCAAAAATTGACACCAACTTTAAAATTTTAAATGACAAGTATGTACCTATCCATTTTTATTTTAGGTTTGAATTCGCTTTCTCAAACTGAGCAGAACGAACCTAGTTGTTGATATTTATCTGCCATAGTTTTTGATTTTTTTTCAAAATTTTTCAAAAAATCACAATTTTTGAACTCTTTACAATAAGTATTTTTTTGCTTTAAATAATTGATTGTTTGAAGAATCTTCTAAAGTAGCTTAAGATTGTTAACTTTCAAATTTAAAGGCTAATATGACTTTTTGAAATGGTTATCAAAAAACAGCTTAACTCAGTTTTTTCAAATAGCATAATCCTATTGTCACGACAATCGAAAGAGCATCGATTTTTATGAAGACTTTTATCAACATGTTCTATACCTATCGCTTGCATGCAATTTTTGAAATAATCACGAAAAACGGATATCAACTTTTTATTTTCATCGTTAATTAACTAGGCTTTGGAAAATGGTCAGTGGTCTGATTCGTAAAAATTTATTCATCGTTATGCGAAAATATTTCATATTGAAGACAAGACAGGTCCTTTAAATTATTCTATCCTTTTGGTCGTAGATGACAAATAAATGTAATACAACTTGGTTGATAATAAGCTAATAAGCCATAATATTATTGTTTGACTGTTTGTTCGACAATGAGTTAGTTAAAAACTAATTGAAAGGTTTAAATGTGACAATTATTGACCATTTTCCAAAGCCTATTTGATTAACGATGAAAATAAAAAATTAAAACCCGTTTTTCGTGATTACTTAAAAAACTAAAAGAGATAGGTGTAAAACATGCTGATAAAAGTTTACATAAAAATCATCGTTGAAACATCACCTAAATAAAACTAAACAATCTGAAATTATAGGTTTTTAGCATTGTTTTCCGAATTTTTTCAAAAAAAAGTACAAAAAAAATTATCCAGTGTTGTCAACTTAAGTCGCAGACCACTTTGATCAAAAATTTAATTGGATATGAAGTGTTCGCGTGCAAAACAAGAAAATGTTTTGCAGTTTTCAAGCATCATAGGGAAAAGTTGTGTTGTTTGTTGTTTTGACTTGGTTTATTAAGAATCAAAATATACTAAAAATTTAAGATTTCTTTTAGAAATTTTAGAAGTCATCTTATCATATACGGTGTGTCCCAAAATAGGTTAAACGACTCTTGTAAAGAGTAAGAAATTTTTTATTTAAATTTTTATTTTTGTTGTTTAGCCTTGCTTGGTTAAAGATTAATTTTTAACATAATTTTAGTTTTGAAAAATCAAGTATGCCTTGGCAATTAAAAAAAACTATTCTTCTGTAGAGTCAATTGTTTTTTATGTGGTAAATACAACAAAAAGTTACTTAGAATCAACATTTAGGCTCGTATACTAAATTTAAAAATCATCGACCAACCATGGTTTTTCTTTTTTTTAAGGTAATTGCTTGTTATTGGTAGAATCCTCAAAAATTTTTTCGTACTAATAATCTAAATGTATTTTTTTATTCGGAATAAAAGAACTGTTAAAAACAAAATACTTTGATTTGTAAATTAATAAACATAACATACTCTAAACATTTTTTTTTTATTTCTAAGGCATACTTAATGTTTCAAAACTATAATTATGTTAGAAATTAGTCCTTAACCAAGCAGAGCTGAACCCCGAAAAATTAAAATTAAAATCGAGAATATTTTTTTTTTGACAAGAGTGGTTTCACCTAACACTGTTTGTATGCATACCCGTAAACTTAGAGATTGATATATTTATGCCATATAAAAACTAATAGTGAAAACGAATTTTAATTAAAGTTTGTTAGTTACCGAGATATACCTTGTTAAAATAATAATTTCATAAACTAATTAACATAATAAAGGCGACTAATAATCGATACTATTTAAAGCATGAACCAAAAAAAATGACAACAATTTCTTTCTTACGACAGTATGCGCAGTCAATGGTGGCAAAAGTATCGCATTAAATAATTAAATGTTGCCAAAAACAGTGTCAAAAAGATCATTTTGTGTAACTAAAGACAATTTAAATCACTTTTTTTTTGATATTATATATGTTAAGTCAGAACTTTAGTATATACATAGCATATTTTTATTTAACTCGTAATTCAAATTAAGATTATTAAGTTCTTTGTCATTGTACCAAATAATGTTAAATTAACCGCAACTTTAAAATTTGCTTGGAATTAAATATATATTTTGTAAACTGACTAGAAATATCAGACGGATTTGTTTAGTCGCCAAAAGAAATAAAAAAATGTACTTATTTAATCCCACACGTTACTACTTTACAAAATCAGGCTTTCGTCAAAATACCTACTTTGCGATGAAAAAATATTATTTCAAAATTTTTATGCAATTTTTTTTTCTTTTTCATTGTTCTAAGATAAATAGTAAACAATTCAATAGTTTTTAATACTGTCGCGGACACAGAATTTTGGACATCAAATTTATGTCAGCTCAAAAAATGTCAATGTAAGCCACGCTTACATTACGCTCATGTCATTGTGACTGACGTTTAGAACTAAAATTCGAAAGTTTTATTTGAAATTTATTTTTGGCGCCGATTTTTAGAAACAATAATGCCAGCAATACGTGTTTTTATATAAGTTTAACAAATGATTTTAATTTGTTGTCATTTTTTTCTCTAGCTATCAGGATAAAAATTACAAAAACCGAAAGTGAGGTTAGTTGCCTAAGGCCCGTTTATATTTTCATGTCAGTCGAATGACGAATCGTCCAAAATTCCGTGTCCACCAGTATATACATTTTTGTAAATTTTTAGTGCAAAAAAATTAATTAAAATTTTCTCAAATATTCAGTTTATTTCCAAATACTGTGTTTTCAAAAAAGTAACACCGCAGAAATTCAATATTTACTAATTTCGAAACACTTTCACACAATGCAAATTAAAAAACGAATTTCATAAAAATTGCTAATTGACTTCAGAATTTCTACCCTCTTCCTGTGACATGTGTAGTGTAGGTAGCAGCCACCACCACACGAGTGCTTCTTCCGTTCAACAAGTGTTTTTCGTATTAGCACACAGCCAAACAATCTTATATTCCAGTGTATTATCCGTTACGAAACATTCAAATGGGATGTTTTTAGAATGCTACAGGTTCGATTCTTGGCGATTATCCCCGAGATAGGCGAACACTTAAATATTTTTTGCGCCTTACACTTAGGCAACACGCAAATTTATGACGGTTTGTTGGTTTTCCACCGAATCGCGTGTGTTATCGAACCTTATAAATCCGGATTGACCCGTAAAACAAAAACCTTTTTAATGCACACGAAAGCTTGATGCAAATTTTATATCGGACTGTAGTAACCTTGCTTTGTCATTGTCAAAGAGGAATTTTTTCGACCAACCTCTCTTTCGGATCAATAAACCGAAACGAATTATTGCTCAACGTCCGGTTTGAAGAAATGAATAGACTCATCATTGGAGAAGTAATTATAATCTGTCACCAAAATAAGTGTTTGTCATCAGACAAAATCTTCTGATTGTTAAAATCACTCTCAAAAACCAGAAATTATTTTTAATCTCAGATTAAAGTAAGTCGATTAAACAAGTTATAACAGTGTGTAACCAAAATAGACGAATAATTAAGTAAATACCTTAATTATGTTCATGGACAGATTCTGTTTCATATTCGGAATAATAACCATAAGTTCTCAATAAAATAAATACAGGCGCATGCAATATATTTTGGTTGTCAATGTCACTAAAAAAATATTTTTTTATGTTAGAAATTTTACAATTTACTACAAAAAGTTAAAACAGTTAGTTTTTAAACGTCGATTGAGCAATTATTATTACAGACATTATGGCGAAAATTTCAAAAGAATGACATTGACGTCCAAAATATATTGTATGCGACTGTACTTATGTAATAGACTTGTCAAGAAATAAATTGTATCTGAATGTATGTTTTATTGTCATCAACGTTGTAGCAACAATTCGTTTAGTACCTATCAAAGCAACAAAATTTGCCAATAATTTAACAGTTTTCTTTTAAAATTAATGGATCCATTAACAATAATAATCAATAATCCATTAACAAATAATAAAAATAGCCATCCACTTCAAATTATCAAAAGCTGTCAAATGTGCCTATTTGCCTTTACTAAATCAAAACTATAGTTATCTGTTATTATTATTCAGTGAATCTACAGGGCGATTCAGATAAGATAATGAGCCTGACGATCTGGCGATGCAACCCATAGAACAAATTTCATTTACGTCTTTGATCCAATTTAAATTAGGATTTGTAAGTTGAACCCAAGTTATCATCTTATGTCACTCTGACATCAGCGCAAAGAACGATCATTAGTGCCATTCAGTTCTCGCGGAATGATAGAGAAATTAGAAAAGTCTTTTCGGTGTAAACCCAACACAAAATGTATGAAAGAATGAAACATTAAAGCTAGGCAAACAGTTTATTTATAAATCATAAATTGCTTGTCAAAGCACTGTCAGAGCAACATAAGATAACTTGGATTGCAAATGCAAATCGTAATTAAAATTAGATATAGACGTAAATGAAATTTGTTTTTTGGGTTGCATCGCCAGAAGGTCGGGCTCATTATCTTATCTGAATCACCCTGTATTTCTAAACACAATTTTTACATGTTGTCTCACGAGTAATAATAAGATTAATAGACCTGAAATTTTTTTTGAGACACCCAACATTTGGATATGAAAATGTTTTATTTTCATATTTGACAAAATTTGTGCTCGGAGCCCGTCTATTTGGATTTCGAAACGTGCAGCCTGCAAAGTGTTTTTTAAACATTCTGTATAAAGGATATGTAGTTTTGATATTACATTGACTGTACCAATTTTTATAAAAATCGATTAATTCATTTTTGCAACACTAATACCTTATCCTGTTTCGATGGTGCACCTCTTATGTTGCCCTTAATATACGCTTTTCTATAAAGTACGTCGTCAATAGCAACGTGTCTTATGAGTCTATAAAACACGCTGATCGTATTTTTTGTCAATTTTGACATTATAATAATTTCTGAATGTAGTAAAATTTCTGCTTCAATATTAGTGTTGTAAAAAATCATAAGACAACTCAAGTTTTATAGTTTAAAACTCTCAGCCTATTAAATTCTCGCTTCCTCAGGCCGCTCAAATTTAAACTACGATCTCGATTTTTAAATTGTCTATCTTAATAGCTATAAAAAGAAAAACGAAAATAATTTATAAACTTTGGCGCCCTCTAGCTTTTAAAGTTGGGTTACATCGCTTTATTTTGACCTGGAAAAACTCAGGATACTCTTTGTCTCCATGTTTTTGTTACACTCGTATTATTAAGAATGTTATTTCACTTCAAAATATTGAGGATCATTGCATTGTTGCAAGAAATAAGAAAATCGTGAATCTGTATACTTTAGTTTGAAACCTTGATAAATAGTTGTATACAAAAATTTACTTTTGTGTTTTATGGGTTGTATACAGGGTGAGTCATATACAATAAAGACCCTAACCGAATTTCAGACGCAACCCAGAATACATTCTCAGATACCACTATGCGTTAATTGATGTTCTGTTTGAAATTTTCAAAGATATAAACATAGATACCTGTGATAGCTTTGACCATTTTTAGAAATTGGAATCATACGGTGTACCTTTGACGGTACAGATTCAGCCACAGTATTTTGTGGCATTCTCGGTTTTCGTCTTATTGTAAAATATTTTTAAATATTCTCCATTTAGAAAATCACCGGTTACATTCAGTCGTTTTGTAAAAAACTGAAAAATATTATTTTATAAGATGCCAATTTCTATTCTAGTTAGATAGATAAACTATTATAAAAAACAAAGTCAAATGTTAAACTTTTAATTGAATATAAAAAAACAACATATTTCAAGAAAACAAATAAATTTTCTTAACAATTTCATCGTACAGTTGCGGTATTAAAATTTGGGGCAGTATTGTCATTTTCATAATGTAAACTGTAAAACAACCTTTACATTAATAACCTCATTTTTTAGTCTTGTCATGTTTATATGATTTTGATTAATTTACTTTCAAAAATATTGATTTGTGGCATAATAACGGGTAGGCAGCAGATCAAAGCGATGATTTGATTACACTTCGTTCAATTAATAAATTTCGTAAGACAGACAAATTGTTTAATTAACAATTTTAACAACAAAAAAAAAGTTTAATTGTCAAATGTCAGTCATGATGACAGTAAGATGTAGTTTACACTGAATTTTTTAAAGTTAATCTGTGACGCGTTTTATAAAACGACTGAATTTACAATTAGCCTACATTTATACTGGAGCCGCGATTACATTTTATCTGCCCCGCCCATTCGATTTTCTTAGCAACCAATGAAATATGTCTCCAAGGCGGTCAAATTTAAACTAAAACAGTTATGCTGACAGTTTTATAGAAGACAGTAAAAGATTTAATTATACATTTGGGGAAAAGTGATGATAGTGATTTCGGCATTAATTATGAAGATTTGTATTAAGTTTTATTTTCGATTTGTTTTTAATTTTGTTTGATTTACATTTTAAATCAGACTTTAACTGTAATTAGTTATTTTATGTTGGTGGAACAGATCAAATGTGTTACAATAAAACTGTCTGGAATAAAACGCTTTATTTCAAATCTCATTTATCACACAAATCTTCAACTAAATAAGCCAAAAACTCAAGCTATGATGAGGCAAAAGATGTCAAATTAGTCGACTTCTTCAATTGTAGGACCATCATTCCCACCACCAGTTCCACCACCACCACCTCTATGTAATTTAGTCATAATTGGACTGCAGATTTTAGATACTTCCTTCAATTTATACTCAAATTCTTCTTTGTCTGCCATTTGGTTACTATCCAACCATTTAATACAAGCTTCACATTCTTTCAAAGCTTTTTTCTTGTCCTCTGAATTTAACTTACTTCCAGCTTCCTCCACCGCTTGTTTTACGTTAAAAACGTAACTTTCAAGTTGATTCTTGCTACCAATTCGTTCTCTTTGTCGATCATCTTCTTCTTTATAACGTTCTGCGTCTGCTAACATTTTCTCGATTTCTCTTTGAGATAGTCTCCCTTTGTCATTCTTGATAGTAATATTTTTCGATTTGCCGGTACTAACCTCTTTTGCTGAAACATTCAGAATGCCATTTGCATCCAAATCAAACGTAACATCGATTTTTGGGACTCCACGAGGGGCAGGTGGTATTCCAGACAAATCAAAGGTTCCTAAAAATAAACAATATTTTTTAAATTATTTCTCAAAAAAAAACAGAAACTTACCCAACAAATTATTATCTTTTGTCATGGCTCTTTCTCCTTCAAAGACCTGAATGCTTACAGCCGGCTGATTATCCGAGTAAGTGGTGAATGTTTGAGTTTGTTTGCATGGAATTCTCGCATTTCGTTCCACAATTTTCGACATTACACCTCCTGCTGTCTCTATTCCAAGTGATAAAGGAGTAACATCAACAAGCAATACGTCTTGTATTTTAGAACTGCTGTCACCACTCAAGATGGCTGCTTGAACGGCAGCGCCATAAGCCACAGCTTCGTCAGGATTAATACTCAAATTTAGGGTTTTCCCAGAGAAATAATTCTGCAGCAAGCTTTGAATTTTTGGAATTCTGGTAGAACCCCCCACCAAAACTACATCATGTATCATTGATTTATCCATTTTGGCATCATTTAGTGCCTTTTCGACCGGTTCCAACGTGCCTCTAAATAAATCTGAATTGAGTTCCTCAAATCTAGCTCTGGAAATTTTTGTATAAAAATCAATTCCTTCAAAAAGAGCATCGATTTCTAGAGACGCCTCCGTGCTAGAACTGAGAGTTCTTTTTGCCCTTTCTGCTGCCGTTCTAAGACGACGCAAAGCTCGAGGGTTTTTAGTTAAATCTTTCTTGTATTTTCGTTTAAATTCCTCAGCGAAATGATTGACAAGGCGGTTATCAAAGTCTTCACCTCCCAAATGTGTATCACCAGCTGTAGCTTTGACTTCGAAAAGAGAACCTTCGTCTATTGTTAAAATTGAAACGTCAAAAGTGCCACCTCCTAAATCAAAAATAAGAACATTGCGTTCGCCTTTTAGGTTCTTGTCCAAGCCGTAAGCTAGCGCTGCTGCTGTTGGTTCGTTGATTATTCTTAAAACGTTGATACCTGAAAAAACCTTGAACTTAGGCCAATCAATAAAACTCTAAGTACAAACAGTTTACAATTTTATTTGAATGTAAATATGGAAATGTGGAAATGCATCACGAAAGGACACACAGTAGTAAAAAGAGTAAACATGATATAACAGCAATAAAATATTAAAGCTCCCAAAAAGTACATTTATACCAATTATAATTTTTCTGTTAATATCATCAGAGCAAAAATTTCTCGAAAATGAGCTTCGAATTTTAACAAATGTTGTTTGGAATACGTACTTAAATCGTTTTTCAGGACTTATCTGCCACTCGGATTTTCCTCGTTCGGAAACAGCAACGATTTATCCGCAAAAACTGTATTTTGTAACAAAAATAACTATTTTCGGATCTCAAATCCTTGCGTAATTAATAAATACTATAGAAAAATTAGAGAATTTGATCTCAAATGAAGAAAAATATCAAAATTTGATATTTGCCAATTTTTGAATAAAAACTAAGCTAGAGGGCTTAGCTAATTTTCTTCGAAGAAACAATTTTTGAGGGCTTTGAAACTGTGTTTCCACTGGAAACAAGTCCGAGAATGTTGTTATACATAGAAATACAGGTTATCTCCAAAACTTTGGATCAAGTTAATATTCAAAAGTTGAACTTCGACTGAAAGTTCAAGATTAATATTAACCAAAATGTCCATGCAAAATCACATAGAATAACATTTTATTGTTTATTTAAAAATGTTTAAAATGAGAAAATCTAGCAACACTGTTTATAGGTGAATGGTGAATAATTTAAACAAAAAAATGTTGTTTAAAAACCAAAAAAGAATTCGAATCGATTTTCGTAATTTTTTGTAACTAAAAAATAATTGCCTTCTATTTTAAAAACATACAGGAAGAATATAAAAACAGAAGAAGTGTATTGAAAGTAAAGAAATTTACTGTTTTCAAATAAAAAACGGTTTCAACACATTAAAAAATAATTGTTTTATTTAATTATTGATGACAATTTTGAGTAATGTAATGTAATGTCAATTTTGATGGAAGAAATGTGACATTAATTTTCGAATCTTCTGTCTCTATCATTTTATTTAAAGTTTACACAACTTAATTTCAGAACAACAAATTACTTCCTGATACCAGGAAGATGAAAAAGATGTTAAAAAAAATTCTATCTATAAAAATTTTGAAATTATATTGGAATTAATTATTGGAAAAAAACGGAAATTTGTAATTTTTGTTTTTATTGTTTCAAGCGAAAACTAAAAGACCTAGACGTTTTTAACTAGGACGTTCTTAAGACACTTTTTTACAAGGATTCAAAATCGGTCATTGTATCTTCCAAGGCGTTCTTGATGTCAGAGTTACAACACTTTGGATTTTCTTATGGACGCCATAGTCGATTTCTGTATTTTTGAAAAGTTTTTTTGTTCCTGACTACGACTATGTATAATACGATACGATCAAATTTTACAGGCTGATCAAAATTAAGAAAAAGCCTTTTTGCGAAGAGTGCTTTGGAAAAAAACAATTTTAATTAACAAAGTTAATTTTGAAGCTGGTGCATTCGAGCATTTTTTATAACCTTGTGTTGTTTTGTTTTGCAAAGAATAAATTCTAGTTTATCACGTTGTTCCTATTTCAAAACCTTTGTTTTTAAGTATGTAAGCTTGACAGAAATGTGATTTCCAGATCCAAATTCAATTGAACTGTCAAAATTTAGTTTAATAGTTAAAATTGGTAGCGTTTCTTCCAAAGCATTCTTCGCAAAAACGATTTTTCTTAATTTTGATCAGCATGTAAAATTTGATCATATCATGTGATACATTGTTGTAATCAGGCACAAAAAGACTTTTCAAAAATACAAAAATCGAATATGACTTCCATAAGAAAATCCAAAGTTGAGTGTTGTAACTCTGACATCAAACACGTCTTGGAAAATACGAAGACAGATTTAGATTCCTTGTAAAAAAGTGCCTTAAGAACGTCTTAGTTAAAAACGTCTAGGTCTTTTAGTTTTCGCTTGAACGAAATAAAAACGAAAATTGCAAATTTTTGTTTGTTTCCAATAATTTAAAAACTACAAATTTTCTTTTAGATTATTTAACATTAATATTTTGACATTAACATTTGACATTTTTTTATGTCTACTTAAGTGTTACTGATAATTTTGTATATATTTATTTTTTTATAATTACTAAGGAAATGTACAAAAATTTTGCCAATAAAAGCCACAAATAACACTAAACAAAGTTACAATTTAGGATACAGCTTCCTAAATTCTTCTTCTAATAGCCAGCAAAAAAAAAACAAGGAAAACTATTTTTCGAACAGAAATAGAGTCAAAGTGCAAAATTTAAACTTCCATAATTTCGAAATTTTTATAGATAGAATTTTTTAACATTTTTTATATGTTCCTGGTTCTAACCTTACATAACATTTTTCTCTGGGGGCGAGTTCTAAAACATCCTGTATAAATAATATTAATTGTTAAAAGCAGGCAATATTATAGACTTTTTCTATTTTCAGAATTTTCAGTGTACTCGTATTATGTGGCGAACTTGAAAAAATCACAAAAAATCGAATAAAAGAACCAGTTTAAAGTCATGCAATAGGTACCAACCTGCGATCATCCCAGCGTCCTTGGTGGCCTGTCTCTGTGAATCATTAAAATACGCCGGAACCGTAATAACAGCATCCTTGGTTTCTTTCCCCAAAAAAGCATCAGCTGTCTCCTTCATCTTCCTCAACACCATACTACTAATCTCTTCCGGTGCAAACTTCTTGACCTCCCCTTTAAATTCCACTTGGATTTTCGGCTTGCCGCCATCATTCACCACCTTAAAGGGCCAGTGTTTCATGTCCTGCTGAATCTTCGGATCGTCGTACTTTCTTCCGATGAGTCTCTTTGCGTCGAACACCGTGTTGCTGGGATTCATCGCCACTTGGTTCTTGGCGGCATCGCCGATGAGCCGCTCCGTGTCGGTGAAGGCCACATAGCTTGGAGTGGTGCGATTTCCCTGGTCGTTGGCGATGATTTCCACTTTGCCCTGCTGCCAGACACCCACACACGAGTACGTGGTGCCCAAATCGATGCCAATTGCCGGTGTTTTGCCCATTTTTCACTCGCTTGACACGGAAGTGATTTTGAATTGAGTCGCGCCTACTTCGGGCTTTTATTGCGGAGTGATAAGAGACAACTACTTCGGGTATTTTCGACGGCACAAAATCGATACAACGAGACCTTTAAAGTCGTTTTATTTTACACAAATCGATATGTTTTCAACTTAGACTAATTTGTCACTAGGAAACTTCCAGAAATTGACAAAATTATTTGACCGGATCACGAAAGCCGAGCGGTTTCGGAGTGAAGCTTTCGTATGACGATCTAGTACAATCATCAGACAAATTTGGTTTTGTTGTGTAGGCTTGTTTTATTTTTAAACGTACCGTAACTGTTTACCAATTTTTTATTCATCGCTGAAGAAGGCAAGACCGCATAATTGTTAATTGATACAATGAGTAAATAGAACAAACCAGGCAGTCCAACCGAGCATAGACTTTTAGATCATTTAAATTTCCATTGTACATTTATCAGTTTAAAGATTACAAAAATACAGGGTGATTCAAAAATGTCGAACCAACTCTTGAATGGTGATAAAAGACATTCAGCTAAGCATAAAAATGAATTCCGATTTTTGTTACAAACTTTTTTTGAAAAAAAAAACAAAATAAGTGTCAATTTTCATATTATCACGTAGTGATTTTTTTCGTTTTTTCGTTTTTCATGTTGTTAGATTTAATTTATTGTTGAATTTGATAGTTTGTTAAATGTTTTGTACACCATAAGACACAAATTGATGATTTTTTCAACAGGTATTTTTTCAGTCTTACAAAATCTGCCGCTTCCGCTAACTAAATTAACTATATCTTGTGAAAAAAGGCTCAAACAGTTTTTTGTTATGGGAATTTTTAACTCAGTTAGATGTCCTTTATCACCACCCAAGAGATAGTCCGACACTTTTAAATCACCCTGTAGAAACCGAAATTCCCAGGAACAAAAAGAAAACAAAACTTGAGGTCATGAAAATAAGTTGCTACAAATTTTGTCACCAAAATTTGACTTGGTGATTTCCGTTTAAATAAAAAACAGACTAGATATTTTTAACCAACAAAGTGGTCAAATACTATTGGATTCGAAAATGTTTTGGAGAAATACACGTTGGGAGGATTCGCAAATATTTTATTCATTTAAAATTGTATAGGGTGTTCCAAGTTTTAGGGCCGGCGCAAAAATAAATATTTCTAATTGATTATTTGGTTTGAGACTTTTACAGTTAAGAATGATGATTACTCCAAGCTATGCGCTATGATTCCTTATAATATAAATTAGTGAATTTAGTCTCAGCATTTAATTTAATAGCTAAACACTAGAGTATCTCAGAAAGCAATTTTAAAATTTTAATAATAACATCCTTAGAGCTTAGAGACATTGGTCAAAATACATACTTACAGTTTGTCTCGAGTAAGAAAGGCTGCGAGATGCGCAGAAAAACAGCAGACACAATAATAAATTTTTTTTTTCGGCAAGATTCTATTCAACATCATCACGTGGTGAAAATAGTAAACGCTTAGACCTGTTAAAATGTTGACAAATCGAAATTTAAATTAATCGAAGAACGGTTTTTAGCCAAAAAGTTTTGTATACAGGTGCGCCAGAACTCGTGCCCCAGAGAAAGTAAGATACCACGAACATAAAAAAAATGTTAAAAAAATTGTATCTGTCAAAAAAATTTGACATTTATTTTTTGATATTTGACATTTTTTATATCTATTTAATTATACTGATGATATTGTATATGTTTTTTTTACAATTATTTAGTAAAGGTACAAAAATTTTGCCAATAAAAGCCACAAATAACATTGAACAGAGTTACAATTTAGGATACAGCTTCCTTGTTCCCTTTTCTAACAACCTTCTTCAAAAAATTTTCTATATAGGTTTTACTTTTTCGAACGAGAAACCCTCGTTTCCTCTTTTAATAGCCTATAGCAAAAAACTTAGAAAATTATTGTTCCAACAGAAATAAATAAGAGTCAAAGTGCAAACTTTAAACTCTCATAACTTCGAAATTTTTATAGATAAATTTTTTCCATGTTCCTGGTATTATTTGTGCGTTAGGTATTTTACAAGTTTAGTTTTAATAAAACTTCATGCTGTAAAATTACACCGTGAATGTAAGGTAATCTGTAGGTGATATTATAGAAACAAATAAAATGTAAAATGTAGCTTATCTACATAATATAATAAAATTTTATACGGAGTTACAATTTAGGATACAGCTTCCTTGTTTCCTCTTCTAATAGCCTGTAGCAAAAAAACTTGGAAAATTATTTTTCCAACAGAACTTAGAAATTTTCATAGAAATTTTTTTTTACATTTTTTCCATGTTCCTGGTATCTTACCTTATTTGGCATTTTTCGCTGGGGCGCGAGTTCTCGTGCCCCCTGTATAAAATATACACTTGAGTGCAAAAAAACGCAAATTGTCAAAAACAAAATTATCAAATTTTTCAGAGATTTATATAGTGTGAAAAAAGTTGTTCCCAAAAAGGTTAGAAAACTATCAAAAAAAATGTCTTATTTGGTGATCTTGCCAGTGCAGTGTGATAGTCAGTGTTATAAACAAAATGGAAAAACATGGAAAAACTTGATAAAAGTCTGGAAGATGCCTGACAATTATGAAATTGTGAATTGTGACAAAGAGAACGTCAAAAAACTGGCATTTATTAACAGGCCAAATTACATTATAAAAAATCTATTTGCGTTTTTTTGCACTCAAGTGTACATCGCGATTGAGTAATTTTTGTTAGAACAACTACCAATACTTAGTTGTTTTATGTCTCACCTATTCATTAATAATGACTTCCATTTGAGGACTAATATGAAGGAATAATGTCCTAGGAAATTAGGGGTTGCTAAATTTCTTCCTACAATTTACTTGCCAGGAGAATTTACTTGTTTACTGTGTATCTTTAAGTTAGTTCACTTAATAATTTGTCATATTTATTTTGGCATATGTTTAATTTTTTGTTTGTTTCAGGTGAATACGTTGTTCTTTGTACGTAATATGTGTTTATTAAAAAAAGACTCAAAAGTTTTTTGACAAATATTTTACATGTTTTAATTAAGTCATTTATCCACTTTTCAAGATAACAGATAATTGAAACTCATTAGTGAACAATATAACGACATACGTTCGCCTACTGGAAGTTTTTTTTTAGATGAGCACAATATTTTGGGTATTATGACCCTTACATGAATGGGCCCTCGACTTTGTATACATGTCACTTCTGCTTCTGAGGCCATAAACATCCAATAATCTCTTTGATACATAAATAAATATGCATGTACTTACCCTTTTAATTACGAAATTGTGAGGGTTAAACTTTTTAAGGCGTTTTCTTCTGGGTTTGCTGGTATTTCTTTTCTTATGAGTTTTGGTTTTCACTATTTTTTCAAACATTATGCACCGTACTAAAATTCTTTCACTGAGTTCGGTTGGTAATTTAATCGGAATATATGAAGTACGCCTACCGAAAGCAATGGATTGATAACAACCAAAATATTTGTAATCTTTATAGGGTAAAATTGTGAATATTCTAACAGATGATAGTAGGCTCAAAAGAAGTCAAAATAACTCAATTTGCCTTATCCGAATGTTTATAGTTTTTGAGATACATAAGGTTTTGTTCGTCGAATAAATTTAAATTTGGGACTCAGCCTTAAACTTCACCAACTCAAATTTAAACAAATCTGATCTCTGAGGTTAGCTCTTCAAAAATTTTTTCATTGTTTTAAAAAAATTGAGTTATAATTAGTAGTAAACATAGGCCACACAAAAAAGTGTCCGCACCTAAAATAAAATCATATAAACGGTAAAAATTTTAGATCAATTTTTTTTTTGGAATAAATTTTTTTAAAACTTCATAAATTGGCTGAAACTTTTATGAACATAATTATTTTTTTTGTTAGGTATGTATTATCAACCTTATATCACATTTACCTATTTTTGTATTTTTGTTTTTTTACATTGATACTTTGATATAATATGACATTTCATTTTATCCTAAGTGATAATGATTGTCCAAAATTACTTAGTAGAAGTAATAAAGTACTTCCAGTAATATGTCGTAACTGCTTTTATTGTAATGGTAAGCTACTTAATTCATTAATAATCCTTCCAGAGCAGGCCTTGACATTAATTACTGGTATAATTAAAAATCGAAACGAAATGTTCTAGTGCAATAGGTAGAATATCTTGTAAAACATGTAAAACTCCAAGAATATTATGAATATTAATGTTTTTAATATGTATAGTATTTTACGGAGATTAGAACAAATAAATATTTCATTATATCAAAGTCTCAGGTAATCTGACTGAAAAAGTAGTCTCCAGGCTAGTTGGATCTCGAAGGTGTATTAAGAAATTTATATGCCATTTTATTCGCAATTAAATTTTGTTTACATAATAAAATATTTATTTTTCTCCAAAATTGATACACTGACGTCAGAGACGCATGGAGGGGGTAATTGGGTCTTTTCTTAAAAAAAAAATAAGTTATGGGAATTTCAAAAATGCTTTAATATTTCGAAAACGCTTAAGTATAAGGATGACTGATAAAAACTCTCTCAAAATCATTTGATTAAAAAACATAACTTTCTATTTAAAATAACAAAGCTAATATAAATTTCCAGTATAATCGGAAGTGCCGTCATCTTGAAAGTATTTTCATTGAGGAAGGCCTATACCTGATGATGGCTACATGTAAATTTTTAGATAAATATCATTATCAGAACAATACTTCTAATGTGTAATGTGTAATCTAGCTGAAACATTCTGTATAAGTCTTTGTAAGTTTGTGATTTTATTTATTTTAACTTTTGCTTATTTCGTTTTTCTATTAAAATACAGAATGATTCATAAGCCATCTTTTGGGTGGTGATAAAGAACATCTAAATGAGTTTAAAAAAATTAGATTTTTTTTTCTCTAGATAAATTACAGCCTTTCAAAAATCACCAAAAAATTTAGGAACATTTTTTGTTTCTTTAATCATTTGGAGTAGTGCATATGATACATAATATTATAGTATACTCAAAGATAACGTGACTTTTTATTGATAAACTCTTACACCCACATCTTACAGTTTTCAATAAGATGGGACTAGTTAGTGCCCAAAACATGTTTCTATCAATATAAGCTGTAATTTTTGTGCAGGACGACTTTCTCCCTTAACCACAAAAGCTTGTACTTTGAACTAATGATGGATTCCTTTTATTGTAAATTACCGTTTTAAGATTCCAGTAAATAAGGAGTGTTTTTTTTTTTAATTTGGCATCAAAGCTATCCATGAAAGTTTGACTGTAAACAAACCATCGTATTGAAAGTAGTTAGTCTCACATACTCAGATTGCTGCCAACTATGACGACAAAATAAACACTCGTCATTTTACTTACTAGGTGATTCATATAAAACTACGAATCTGATGAACCTGTTATGGAGACCTTTGGAAAAACGCTATGCATAAAGTTTGAGATGGACAGTTGTTATTGCGCTAAGTTTGTTCAAAAATGTAGTATTTGAATATAATATTATGTGGATACTGTATCATGTGTTCATTTAAAAACAAACTCGCAGTAAACAAACGTATGTTGTCGTATGTATTGTCTACTATAGCTATTAATATAACGAGAATAATTAAGAGATTTATAATATCGAGGACGATGCTAGGTGACGAGGCTAGCGATGGTTTAAATTTATCGTATCATCTACTTACCTTGTTAAATGCCGGTGGAAACATTTTAGATTTGCTAGATAATCGAGTGAATAGGAGAGACAATGTGTCAAATTCGGTGTCAAAAACTAAAAGAACAATGGAATGTTTACTATAATTTTGTACCTAATGTATTTTGAGTTGGGTTTTAGGGGATGAATCGTAATTAATGACGAGGCGACGTAGAAGCCGAGTCTTTAATGAAAGGAGTCACCTAAAACCTTTTGCGTCCGTGGTGCGTGGTGCATACAAGATTTTTTTGTTAAAGCTCCCAGAACACGAACTCACACCTTACTAATAAAAAAAAATTGTTAACATAGTAACCAATTTTATTTTTTAGACGGCAAAAACTGTTTTTGGGGATTGAGTACCCAAAGTAACCGTTTTGCGTACTATTTTATTGAGTCCGAAAAAGACTCATTTTGGGGATTCAAATGAGTCGGCAAAATAGCTATTTTTGGGAGCGTATACAAAAAATGAGTTTTTATCACTAAATATTATTGACATTTATTACTTTTCTTTTTTAATTTAACTTTTTTTAGCTATTACAGAATCTTTAATGTACGTCATAAACGACATCATCGAATATACAGCTTTAGATAACTGAAAAAACAAATCAGATATAGAATTGTCATTTTTAACTTACATCGATTCCAAGTTTGTAATTCACAGATACATTTTCCGAAAACTTAATGCTCACTGAAGTAGAAGAGTTAAGTAGAAGAATCTGATAAATTATTTTATTTTCTTTATTCCAGTAATACCATTTTATCCGAGTCAACCTTTCAAAAAGTTCATCGGTCTATAACAACGTACTGTAATTTAGTTAATATTTTCGATAAATTGAAATTACAACGTCTTCTAAGCTTTGTCCCTGTATTATGTATTGTACGCTTGTCAAAATAGCAACGAAAATTAAGGCCCAAAGCCGGAAATAAGTAAACGTTAAACTCTCTTCAATCTGTAAAAGTTTTTCTATCAATTAGTCAGTAAGTAGGTACAAACTCTCTCACCAAAAAGAAAAACAGCATTAAACTAACACCTAGCATAGCTCCTGTTACTGCAAAAAGGAAAACAAATATACTACCATCTCTAATAATTGTTTTGCCTATTGAGATAAAAAGGATGTGGCGTTTAAGACAAAATATTAATCTTCTTTTTATTTCATCGTGAAATTTGTTGTTAAAATCTATTTCGTCTAAGTTTTCAAATCCGTAATGTATGTGTTCTAGTAGATTTTTTATTATACCTAATTGGTATTCAGTATGCTTCAACAAATAGCAAATTTGCAAACAAGGAGCTTGCATTAAAAAGGAGACAAAAAGAAAAGTCAGTCGATGACCTAAAGATAGAATATCAGCCCATTCCAACATATTATCTTCAAACCAAGTCATAATGAAAAAAATTTCGTGGTCTTCTTCTGTCGGTATCACGTAGAGAACAGCAGCGCAAAAGCCTGTGACTACAATAAAAACGACATAAATTTTTGTGTAGAGAGCATCTCGTTTAACTCTTTTTTCATATGTTGTTCCAGCAGTATTAAATTTCCAAAGAGGAATTTTTTGAAATGATTTATACGTGACATTTCTGTAATATAAAATGAAAGACAAACAGACTAACACCTAGAGAAAAATAGAAATAGAAATCTCTTCAATGCTGAAAATACTCACATAAAAACGTCCAAAATAAACAGGAGCATATTTTATAAATTGTATGGTACTAAAGCCGTTTATTGAATAATAAGTTTGCAATATTGTTAATCCTGTGACATTAATGAAAGCAATAACTAAAATTAATTTTGCGAAACGTATTTCAAATAAGTCAATGAAACAAAATCTTATTATTTCCAAACAATCATCTACAAATTATGATAAGAAATAATGGCATGTAGTAAATCTAGCCAAAAACCGTTTTCTTCTTCCGGTTCATCAAACTTCATATTAACACCTTAAAACTTCCTTCACTTTGAGCCCACTATATTTGAAACTGAAATCTAACAATGTGTAATTAATTAACGTTAATAGATTCGTAATGTGCTTAAACATGTAATAAAAGTTACCATTAGAATAATGGGTCTAATGATAATTTTTATTGTTTTCAAACTCAATAAAATATTAAGACGTAAGATCGTATTTTAGGTACTAGTACTATTGTACATACTATCGGCGTCAAAAAAAATGGAACACCAACATACATTATTAATATAGCTGTAAACGTAGTACCGTGCCATCAAAAAAAAATAAAAATTAGAGTAGGCGGTGATTAAAGTCCTTCAGATAGCAATCCTGATTTTTGACATCAAATGTCAGCGGAAACTTTGACAAGTGTGCGTTTTATTCATTTTGAGTGAAATAATGTTCACTTTAGAGTTCACTTTAGAGCAGAAAATTTTTATTGTACAAAAATGCTGTACAAGACGAAAACGGTGAATGGTCATTTTCACTTTCAGTTTGTGTCAAAAATTTCCAGCCCAGATTCTCAGCTAACGTGTTGCAAACTGTAGAATATTAATCGTCGCCTACTCTAATCTATTTTTTTTATCGCACGGTATTAATTAGTTAAAGGTTTTACTTCTGTAATCAAGTTTTTCCTGCCATGTTGACATAACGTCACTAAGTCATGGGTTCTGAACATACAGGGTGTCCCAGGGTGGGTGGAGCTGTGTCACATGTCATTTTAATTCCCCCTAGGTACCACCAAAAGGGTTTTGAGTGATTATTAATAACTTTTTTATTATACCTGCATCATAATCCCAAATTAAAATACCCTGCAGCGTGCGTAATTTGGCCCTTATAGCACGCTGAAATTTTAAAGTTTTCTAGGTAAGAAGAAATAGTGAAATGTCTGGACCAATTACAACGTGAAAAAACGTGCTTAACAACGTAAACTAGTAACCGTCTCTACGAAAACGATTCACAAACAACCTTTGATAATAATTTTATTGTGTAAATTCACATTTTTTCAATGCTCACAAAAGATCGTAAATGGGCAGGTATAATAAAAAATAGCGTATAACACTCGTTTATAAGCGCCTTTAAAACACTTACGACGTTAAAAGCACTCCGCTAACGCGTCGTGCTCTAAACCCGTCGTGCGTGTTTTAAAGGCTTACTTATAAACAAGTGTTATAATATACTATTATTTCCACTTTAAAATTATTATTACATTTATTTTATTATGATAACTTCACTTTTACAATTATTTCAATAAATTCACAATTAATTCAATTTTACAATAATGAATGGATCGAGAGACTAAGACTTAAAACTTGAACTTAACAAAGTCAGAAATGCTTATCCTGAATTTATAATGTAAATTAGTGCAAGGGTTGCAAGGTTTTCGATGCTTGAGAAACGCGTGAGGCGTGATGTTTACGTCTCCTTATGGAAGTTCTATGCTGATCCATAGGCACGTGGATGGAGATAATATAACATGCGAAAAGAGTTTTTATCCGTTTTTCTTTTGCAACCTTAAAAACCCCTTGAAATAGAAAGTGAATATCCAGTGTCGCACACAATTATTTTTCCAACAGAAATAAATAGGGTCAAAGTAAACATCGAAATTTTTATAGATATAATTTTTTTAACTTTTTCCATGTTCCTGGTACCTTTCTTATATGGCATTGGGCACGAGTTCTGGCGCAGCCTGTGTAAACAGTACCATGAAAAACTGTTTAACTTTTTTTAGCTATTACAAAATCTCTAACGTACGTCATAAACGACAGCATCGAATATACAGCTTTAGACAGCTAAAAAAAAATCATCAGAAAAATGTGTGTTGTTTTTTTAACTTACATCGATTCCTAGTTTGTAATTCGCTGCCAAACTTTCCGAGAACTTTACACAAAACGGTGTTGAAGAGTTAATTAAAAAAATCTGATAAATTACTTTGTTTTCTTTGTTCCAGTAATACCATTTAATTCGAGTTAACGTTTCAAAAAATTCAACAGTCTGGAACAACGTACTGTATTTTAGTTACTTAATATCTTGATCTAACTTACAATGTCTTCTATACTTTGTCCTTGTATAATGTATTGGACTCCTGTTAAAATGGCAACGAAAATTAAAGCCCAAATTCGAAAATAAGTTAATGTTAGACTCTCTTCGTTCTGCAAAGTTTCTTCTGTCAAATAGCAAATTAAAATAAATTATTTTACCAAAAACAGAAAGAGCATTAAACTAACACCTAGCATAGCTCCTGTTACAGCAAAAAGAAAAACAAAGATACCTGCTTGTTTAGCAATTGCATTGCATGTTACGAAAAGAGAGATGTGGCGTTTAACACAAAACACTAATCTTTTTCTTATTTCATCATGAAACTTTTCATTAAAATCTATTTCGTCTAAGTTTTCAAACTCAAAATGTATATTTTCGACCAAAACCTTTATGATACCAACTTGATATTGGCCATGTTTCAACAAATAGCAAATTTGCAAACAAGGAGCTTGCATTAAAAAAGAGACAAAAAGAAAAGTCAGTCGATGACCTAAAGATAGAATATCAGCCCATTCCAACATATTATCTTCAAACCAAGTCATAATGAAAAAAATTTCGTGGTCTTCTTCTGTCGGTATCACGTAGAGAACAGCAGCGCAAAAGCCTGTGATTACAATAAAAACGACATAAATTTTTGTGTAGAGAGCATCTCGTTTAACTCTTTTTTCATATGCTGTTCCAGCAGTATTAAATTTCCAAAGAGGAATTTTTTGAAATGACTTATACATGACATTTATGTAATATAAAATGAAAGACAAACAGACTAACACCTAGAAAAAAATAAGAATAGAAATCTCTAAAATGGTAGAAATACTCACATAAAAGCGTCCAAAATATACAGGGGCATATTTTATAAATTGTATGGTACTAAAACCGTTTATTGAGTAGTAAGTTTGCAATATCGTTAATCCTGTGACATTAATGAAAGCAATGACTAAAATTAATTTTGCGAAATATGTTTGAAATAAGTTAATGGAACAAAGTCTTAATATTCCCAAACAATCATCTACAAAGTATAATAACAAACAATAGTATATAAATTTAAACAAAAACCATTTTGTTCTTCCGGGTCGACAAACTTCATCTTGATATCTAAAAATTTTCTTTACTTTGAGACATCTGTAATCGAAGTAAAGTACCTAATAATTAATTAACATTAATAGACCTTAAACATCATGCAGTAAAAAGGAAGGTAGTATTTATTTCTAAATGATTTATCATTAGAATAATGAATCCCATAATATTTTTTTATTAAACAACAAAGACATCATGTTAGGAAATGTTACTCATACATACAGAGTGTTCGGTCCAAATCGCCCCGGCTGATAACACCTAAACTTACTTTTTTTTTTTTTAAGTAAATACAAAGTGATCCACAATGACTGAATATGTTGACAATCCTGACCCTAATTTTTAAAGCTTACGATTAAAGTACGCTTTTGATTAAGAACAATTCAACAATCATGTGGGGTTGTACTTCAAGTATTTGTCATGCAAAACTGTATCCGGTTGCAGTGTTTCAAATTATTAACAAAAATACTTTCAAATCTGTTGCCAACAGACTCAGTCTTTCTGGCTCACTTCGTATTTAAGTAATAATATTCATTCTTGGCTTTCTTAATAAATGTATCAAATTTTTTTAGCACATCCGGTGTTTCCTCGAAATAATAATAATTGACATAAAAAATACTGTAAACCACTATTTATTAAATTTTGCGTAACACAATGCAATCATAAAACATCTTAAATCTTAGAATTCTATAAGGAAATTAGTCGCGTAGCCTGATTTTTAATTTTAAAGAAAAGGTGTGAATAAAAAAAATGCCTGGATCAGTTTAATTGTTGGTTTGACACATCTAATTTGTCAGTTTTTGACAATTAGTAGACAAGCTGAAATATTTTTCAAATGCAATAAAAACGAATGAAAGGCTTAAAGAAAAAACATTAGTCTAGAGAAAAATATCCAAACAGAATTCACCAAAGTCGTTGAAAATTCAGTCGAATTGAAAAGCAACAAACATGACCAATTCTTAAAAGTAAAAAAACCATTGTTTGTTAGTAAAAAACAAGAAAAAAGAATCTTAATGTTTAGTCATCAGTCTCAAAGAATATCCAAGAGTTGCCAGAGAACTTTCTTATCTTCATGCTATTTCTAATGATTAAACCGATTCTAAGAGAAAGAGAACAAACCCTATGTAACATTTAAAAAAAGAAAACGACAATTTACAATAAATCTTCAAACTGAAATCCGTTATTTCAATACATAAATGGCATCGTTGTCGAACACTTGTAATTACCCGCAATAAATAATCTTCATCAATGTTTGCTCAAGAGTTTGTTATTCTGTCTTTTAGCTCTTGAATATTTTCGGAAGTATCAGGTGATCTGGCAGACCATCCACGTGTTCCAATCCACTGCTGCCCAAAAGTATTACATATTTGAAAATTTGTTTCCATCTTGTTGGAAATTCATTTGTACATATTGGATTGGAAGAACGTGTTCTTCTAAATGTTCTAATAAGTCTTGAGTGAGGAATTCATCATATACATCGGCAGTAAGATTACCATCGAAAAAGTAAGGTCCTATTAATCGATTTTCTAAAATACAACACCAAATGTTTACTTTAAATCGATTTTGATGAGTTCGTTCTCTGACGAGATGAGGATTATTTTGGGACCAAAAATATTGAATTGATCTGTTAAACATTTCACTATTAGTGAAAGTCTTTTCATCAGACCACAAAACTTTTCTATGAAACAGAGGATCTTTGTTACATTTTGTAAGGAACCATTCACAAAATTCAATTTTTCTTGGACCATCGTTATCTCGTAAGGTCTGGGTAACTCGGGTCTTTAAGAAAAAGGGAATTAAAGAGACATTTGTCAATAAAAACAAAATCTCACCTTTTAAGGTTTCTTTTTATGTTTTTTTAATATTTTGTGAACCGTTTCATTAGAAACATAATGCGGATGAGCGAGTTCTTGAATTTTCTTCGACTGGTAAGAGAACATTCAGATTTCTATTTTCTTGTTCTTCAGTAAGAACCACAGGTTTTTTAGTTTTAAGAAGCGAACCGGTTCGTCTTAGTTCTTTTTCAATTCGACTAAATATCCAACGATTTGGGTGAACTCTATTTGGGTCATTTTTAGTAGTATTAAATATACTACTCATTGGAAAGCTTGTTTTTATTCAAAAATTAATAAAACGTATTTAAACAAATGAAATGAGCATTAATCAGCTAGAAAATTACAACAAATGCTCGAAGTGTCCGCCAGTTGATGCGATGCATGCACGACTTCGATGGATCAACGAACCTTTAACCCTTTGCAATACTTTATGAATATTTTGAATCTGCAATTATGCGGTTTTGAAGATCCAATACATTTTGCACTGGTGTTCGATAAACTAATCCTTTCATGTGTTCCCAAAGATAAAAATCGCAGCTATTCATATCCGTGACCTAGGAGGCCAAAGGACAGGACCACCTCTATACCAATCCACCTTTGTGGATAATTATCGTCCAAAAAATGCCGCAAAGTCAGGAGGCGCCCCATCGTGCATGAAAAACATTTCTCTACGGGTTGCTATTGGCATATCTTCTAGACAACTAGAATATAAACTCAGGTGCATAACTATAGCACCACATAATTTTTTTGAAGTTTCAGCACTTTTAAAACAGTTATTTAAAAAATATTAATTTCAAAAGATGGAATATCATTCAATATTTATTGAATCAAAATATTAAAAAAATTAATTAGGAAAAAACTCATTTTTCCTTGGTGCATAACAATAGCACCACATAAAATTCAAATTGAAAAAAGGCAATTATACAGTTTATATTCTTAATTTAATAATGAGTGACTCCTCCATTTTGACGAATGACCTCAAAAATTCTTTTAGGCATGCTTTCAACCGGTTTATGAAGAAGCTCTTCGTCCAAATCATTCCACGCTTCTCTCATTGCTGCCTTCAGGTCAGCCACGGTTGCATACTGATGATTTTCTTTGTATACCGAACGAACAAGAACTCCCCAAAGATTCTCGATAGGGTTTAAATCTCGCGAACAAGCCGGCCACTCCATAACACGCACTCCTTGTCCTTCTAGCCATCGTAGTGTTTCCCTACTAACGTGAATTCGGGCGTTATCTTGTTGGGAGAGCCACTCATTTCGATGAATATTTTCAAAAAGTGGCATCACTTCTATCCAATACTTCAATATATTCTCAACTGTTCATTTGAGAAGAAGGAAAAGAAAGAAGGATTTGCGGAACACCATTATAAGAAAATGCTCCCCACACCATAACACTTGCACCACCATAATTTCTTTTTGAGAAATATCGGGGTTCTTTTCTTAGATCTCTCCAATACGAGTTGAAGCCATCAGGTCCATCCATATTGAGTTTTTTTTTCATCCGAGAATATCATCTAAGTAAAATGCTCGTCAGTAATTAAAAAATTGTAAGTTTTTAAGGTAAATCATCATTTTTACTTTTTGCCAATTTTGATGCATAGTGTCTCGTGCAAATTGAAGTCGTACATTTTTGTGCCTTTGAAGTAGTCTCGGGGCAGTTTTTAATTTCTGACGCTTAATGTGGGGACTCTGTTTTAAACTTCTCCAAACGGTCCATCGCGAGACGTTGGCGGCAATTTCACTACAAATGGCACTACAACTTTTTAAGAATTACTCGCTAAATTGACAATCCGACGTGCAGAACGTGGAGAAATTTTCTTTTTGGGACCTCCCTTCTTATTTTGTCCATAGTGCTCCGGATCTCGCAGGAAAGTTATCACGACCTTATGGGACCGATTAATTTTACGAGCAATGGCTCGAATTCCGACATCTTCTTCTCTTAGAGCCAAAATTTTACCTTTTTCAAGTTCAGTAAGGTAATTACCGCGAGGCATTTTGACAATCATGAATTAATACACAATGACAGAAACGTCACGAGGTAATGGAGACTCAAATATTGAATATGAATTTCATAATTGATTTTCTTCGATTTGAGTTTTATGTGGTGCTATAGTTATGCACCACGGAAAAAAAATGTTTTTTTTTGGAATTAATTCAAAATTAAAGGTTTAAATGTCATTATATTCTGGTACAATAAATATTTAATCATATTCCATTTTTTGAAATTAATATTCTTTAGGTAATTATTTTAAAAATAATAAAATTAAAAAAAATTTAGGTGGTGCACCAGAGTTTATAATTCCTCTTAAAAAATTCAAATAAACTTCGGTATTCAAACGTTGTGGCAAAACGTATGGTCCAATTAAACGATCATCGATGATTCCGCCCCATACGTTTACCGCGAATCGATTTTGAAAATTCATTTGACGGATTTGGTGTGAGTTGGCATCTGCCCAGTGATGTCTGTTATGAAAATTAAGTATGCCATTTTTTGTAAGGCAGCAGATACACAGAACGTCGATCGTAGACGATCAAGTAACATCGATTGTGCCTCATCGAGTTTACACTTGATAAATACAAAATTGGAGTCTTTGTTTGATTTACAAAAATTTGCTGTCATCATAAAAAAATTAAAATTAAAATAAAGACCAATTTGAAGCATGACTAAGTTTGGTAGAATCAAATTTTTTGCGCTTTCAAAGGACTGGTTTATATTAGATACTACTTATGATTTTTGTCACATTTTATTAGTAGAAAAAAATCATAAAAAAAAAGTTCATTAGTAATATCCATATCCTCCATAGGCATAAGGGAGAGCGGAATATCCGTAGCCATAGCCTAAACCGGTATATCCACCATAAAGTCCGGAGTAGAAGTATTGTGGTGCAGCTTTAGGAGCAGCGAAAGCAAAAGCAAGAAGAGCGAAAAGTACCAACTGAAATAAAAAAAAATTAAGAACATTTTTTTAAAATATCAATTGCATTACTTACAAGTTTGAACATTTTGCGGCAGTTGTCAGCAACTTCGATATCAGTCGAAATCTGCCAGAGCCAAGAGCAAGAAGGATTTATATACAGTTTTGTAACTACTCGATGACCTACCTTGAACGTTGAACAAACGAGTAGGATGTAAAATTAAAAAACAGCCCAAGTGCATATCCGCATTTTTTTTAAATAACCTGTTTTACATAAAGAAAATTTTATATTAACAAGTTAGACCCAATTAATATTTGGCGTTTTTTTTTTATTGTTTCCTGTTCTGACTTGAAACTAAACTTGAAATTTTGTCTGACACACCTTTACAAAACCAGTATAAATGCTACCAACATAGGATGCAACGGCCAGTGTTTGCTGTTGTAGACTCGCAAAACAAGCAAAATGTTCAAACTTGTAAGTAATTTAGGGTGGTTTGCACCAACACTAGTTAAATTTAATCTCTGATTAAGAACAATTGTAACTATGATAATATCAATGGTTACTATTTATTTAATCTGAGACTAAATTTAACTGGTGTTGGTGCAACCCACCCTTAGTGTTTAATTAAATGAAATAATAACTATTTTTCTTATTTTCAGCTTGTATTCTTGGCTCTTGTAGCTTTTGCTATTGCTGCTCCTAAACCCGAACCTCAATACTTCTATTCTGGTCTCTATGGAGGATATGCTGGATTAGGATACGGCTATGGATATGCTGCTCCTTACGCCTATGGTGGTTATGGAAGCTACTTCTACTGAGCGAAAATTCTGAACTGACTTTACTTAATAAATACTTTTAATATTATTTCAATGCTTTACTTAATACACATACCAGGTGAATAAAAAGTATGGAACCAAGCGTTTTTTTCGTAAACTAAGCACTTTACGAAAAAAATAATTAGTGTAGCGTAAAGTACAATTACAATGTGACCATTTATCAAGAATAACATTTTTCGAAATTTATTTTAGTTTTTGAGTTCTGGAAAAATTATTTTTTTTTAAATGGCAACTCACCATGGTAATTTTTTAATTAAAGATTATGATCTAAAAATGACCTCTAATTAAATAAAATTGTTTTTTAGCCAGTACTTTTTTTTAAATTAATTGTTAAAGTTGCGTTCCGAGCTGATCACGAAGATTTTCCGAATTTAACCGAAGTGGTTGTTTCATGCTTTTCATCATGGGAGAGCCCTGATTTCTATGCAAGTGCTTTGGGGTGGTTTCGAATCGACTAAAAATAGAAGAAAATGATTTGTTATTAGATTTTTTGGTCCATCCGGAACCACCCCAAAGCACCTGCACAAAAAACCCGGCTCTCCAACGACCCAAGTCATGAAACGACCCCCTCGTTCAAGTTCGGAAAATCTTCGTAATGGGCTCGGAACGCAACTTTAACAATTTATTAAAAAAAAGTACTAACTAGAAAACAATACTGTTTAATTAAAGGTCCTTTTAGATCATAATCTTTAATTAAAAAAATTACCATGGTGAGTTGCCATTTAAAAAAAAAAAAAATTCCAGAACTCGAAAACTAAAAGAAATTTCGAAAAATGTTATTCTTGATAAATGGTCACATTTTAATTGGACTTTACGCTACAGTAATTATTTTTTTTTGTAAAGTGCTTAGTTTACGAAAAAAACGCTTGGTTCCATACTTTTTATTCACCTGGTATGCATAGTCTACCACCACCCCACATGACTATTGAGGTTATGTTATATTATATCTTCCTCTAGCACTTAACGGTGTTTAGGCATTGTCCTTTATCACCAACTACCGATTAGAAAATTATACTTAGGGTGAGAGATTTAAAATGATAATGTCCCTTAAACCAAGCAATTTTCTTTCAAAGCCAAAGCATTAGCTAACTCAGAACGGCACTTCACGAGGGTTATGTTATACCAGGTGAATAAAAAGTATGGAACCAAACGTATTTGCTTAAATTATTTATTTGTTGGAAAAATTGACGAATGATAAAGTACTATAAAGATGTGATATTTTATCAAGAATTTTTTTTTTAGAAATATTCTTTTGTTTTTGAGTTGTACAGTTTTTTTTTTTATTTTTTTTAATGGCAACCCACTATAAAACCATTTATATAAAACCAAAAAATTTTTTACATAAATTGCAATTTTGACAAAAAAACGCATAACTCAAAAACAAAACAAAATTTCATTCTCAAGTCTCACATTTTTTATATTACTTTCATTTATATTATTAATTATTATTTTCTCGAGACAAATGATTCAAAAAAACGCTTGGTTCCATACTTTATATTCACCCCGTATGAATCGTCCACCCAAAGATATACCGTCGTATTGTGTGACATGCCACATATTCTAAATGTCATTAAGAAACGCAATACTAACAATCTTTATGTGTGAAATTTACTATATACAACTTCTATCAAGTTAATAACATTTTGACAATTGTTTATTAAAAAAACACTAGTATTACTTAAAATGCATTATATTGGGTACCATTTTATAAAGAACTTGAATGTTATTAAAAACTGTGCTCCCAGTAATAAAATGCTCAAAGTGAGAGAAAAATTAATGAATCAACATGTCTTTCAAAATTTTTCAAAAGTGTTGCGGACAATCGTACGGTTACCAGAATGGAATCTGCACCATTATTTTACTTAATCATTTGTAGCGAAAATTCTACAACACAAAAATACAAAAAATATGCAAAATATCAATGTTGGACCACACAGATTTTGATCACAATAAACATGAAAACTTGAATCTGGCGCGAAGACATGTTGGGTAATAGAAAGTAGAATATTTTACTCGACATACAGGATGCGCCAGAACTTGCGGCCCATGTAAGGTAAAATACCAGGAACATGGAAAAAATGTTAAAAAAATTCTATCTATACAAATTTCGAAATAATGAGAGTTTAAATTTTGCACTTTGACTCTATTTATTTCTGTTGGAAAAATAATTTTCCAAGTTTTTTTGCTACAGGCTATTAGAAGAGGATACAAGGAAGTTGTATCCTAAGTTGTAATTCTGTTTAATGTTATTTGTGGCTTTTATTGGCAAATATTTTTGTACTTTTACTAAATAATTATAAGAAAACATGTACATCATCAGTATCATTAAATAGACATAAAAAATGTCAAATGTCAAAAAAATAAATGTCAAAATTTTTTGACAGATAGAATTTTTTGAACATTTTTTTCATGTTCCTGTTATCTTATCTTACTTGAAAATTTTCTCTGGGGCGCAAGTTCTGGCGCATCCTGAATTTAAAGCTTTATGCTATTCCTTTAAATTTAAATGTTATTGGTCAACTAGTGGAAGTGGTCGACATTGGGCACCTACAAGTTCAGTAAAATATTATGTGACGTGCTTTGCTATTAAAATGATTTAATTTTTTGTCTTGAGGTACTTTTATTAATACTAATTGAATCTCCATCTTCTAAGTTGTCTATATTTTAATGTCGTAAAAATCCGTTGGCAAATAACAGAGATATTAGACCCGAAGTCTTACGTGAAACAGCCCTGTAGACTATATTGTGGTGCAGGTTTATTTAGCTATCAGTAAAAACAACAGCAAGATAAGCAAAAAGTATCAACTATAAAATGTTAAAATTAGAAATCACTACATTTTTTCAAAAATAAACATAAATACAAATTTTGCATTTTCGGTAGTTTCTGTTTAATTCTAAATCTACAAAATTTAAGACAAGGAATTATTTATATAATTCTCTTTTAGTAGTTAGTAAAATATAAAAATAATGGTTCCATCCATAAACGCATTATTTGAGTAAATAACATTTCATCATTTAAATAACCAGTTTTACAAAAATAAAGAAAATTTTATATTCATTAAAAAGTAGACCCGATTAACATTCGGCAGCATGCTTGAAAAATTTCCTGTTTTGATGTGCAATTGAACTTGAAATTTTGTTTGACACACCCCTAAAAGCCAGTATAAATGTTACCAACACAAGTCTCAGTAGCCAGTGCTTGCTGTTGTAGTCTTGCGAAACAAACAACATGTTCAAAATTGTAAGTAATTTATTGATTTTCTGTTTAATTAGATGTAATAATTGTTGTTCTGTTTTAGCTTGTATTCTTGGCTCTTGTAGCTTTTGCTATCGCTGCACCTAAAGCCGAACCTCAATATTTTTACTCTGGTCTCTATGGGGGATATTCTAACGGCTATGGCTATGCTGCTCCTTATACCTATGGTGGTTATGGAAGTTATTTCTTTTAAAGAAAAATATGCGAATTGTATTTTTAAATAAATTTACTTATTCTTAATTAATAATTACGAGTAATTTTTAATTAATTTTGTTTAAAAAATTAGAACTTTAATTATTTGGGACTAGCATAACAATCACGATACTAACAAAAAGCACGACAGTTTCAAATTTATACCTAAACGTGCTCTAATACATACCTAACTCATTTTATTAGAAAAATAATTTTGATCAATTTAGTGGACGTTATAGCCCAATCTCAAAAAATTCCATATTTGCTAATATTACATTGCTCACAATAAATAAATCCTATCACATTGGTGGTTTTATTTATTTGACAGCTATATGTTACTTTCACAATTAATTTGTTGACTAAATAATGATGTTTCTTGTTAAAAATGACTTTGTTTCTTGTCCTAAAGCTGTTTCTTTGAGTTTCCATTTATTAAAATTATGTTTTTCAAAAACATTTTTGTTATTTAACTTGGGTAAACACGTTTGTCAAAGTGACATCATTGTCAAAATAATAAAACCGCCAATGTGATGGGATTTAAAAAGCAGAGAAAAATTATTATACAGGACGATTCTTAAATAGACCGACAAAATTTTATCACAGCTTCCCAAGGATAAATGGAGACGAACTGTAACCTTTTTACGTTTAGGGGCAAAACCCCCTTGATCCGTGCCACTTACGGCGTTTATGAATTGTTGCAATGATCAAGTACATTTTGATCAAATTAATACCATGGTTTCCACTACCTGTGCTAATACTATTTACGACATTGACATCCTACTAATGGACTGCGCTTTGCCAATACTTACGCGTATAAAAGCTGTTGTCAACATGGTTATGCATCCACCAATTCGCAATAGTGGCAGAATGCATTGGAACTTGTATGAAATACAAATTTAATATAGAATATCTACAATAATTCAATTTGTTTACATCAAGTACAATTATGAATTACTTTGACGGTAAGGTAGTATTATAATTAATTCATTATATAAACAAGAATACCGTTTGATAATGATATTATAATAAACTGCGTGCAACAAAAGCTTTTTGTAAGCCCATTCAAATTAGGCGGTTGTAGGATTATTATTGAATCCTCCTCTGGATCGTATTGCGAAAAAAAAGGTTCGATGTAATTCTGACTTTGAATTTGTAGGTAAAAATGTACTTAGTTTAAATATTTGTTGTTTTTAACATCATTAAACAAATTCCCAACACTACACATAGAGATTAACAAAAAAAACATTTTTCTCTCATTAGACCCGTTAGTTGCCACCATTGAGTTTAATATGTTGCCTATCTATGTTGACAACAAAATTTTTAGCTCAAACGCAGTCCATAGTATGATGTCAATGATTTACGAATACCTCAGTGGTATACGCTTTACCTCGAAAATAACTTTAATAAATTTTATTTGGAGAATGGTTAAATAACGAATTTTTAAAAAAAATATTCCAGCATGTTCTCATTGGATAAAATTTTGTCGGTCTATTTAAGAATCACCCTGTATTAGTTCAAAATCAAAAGAAAAATGAACTTTTCTTTTTAATGAATCAGAATAATAAAGATTTCATGCCCGATTTGCTGGTTTCAGATAAAGCAAAAAATGTTTTTTGTTTGCAGTTTTGGCGAAAAATCAAAGATAATTTTTTTTTCCTCTTGTAAAATCAATCCGGGGACATACTGTAGATTACTTTAACTAAAAGCTGCCCTTTTATGTCTACTCACAAAAATAGAACTTTTACTTCTGTCATTTATACACAAAAGTGTCATTTTTTAATGTTAACAGATAAAGTAGTATGTTATTTGTGGTAAAAGTAATTTTATGTGGCTCAGCTGAATTATTTGTTTCACTACGTATGGCAAAATAAACGTTCAGTTTTGCCACATAAATAAGTGGCATTTTTACCCAATATAATCTACTATTTTAAAGCTGTGACAAAAGTTACTCTCCTGGCTCACACAATCCATGACTTTTGAAAGCCATGATCAAATCACTGATGGTGCAGGCAAAGACATATTAAATGTGGTCCTCACATAATTGTATGCTTTTGGCGAATAAAACTGTAACGTCATGGCGAAATTCTTTAATTCATTTGGATATGGTTTTCGGGAATTTTTCCCTCTTTTGAAATTCAAAAGCAACCTTTTCATCAAAATTTGATGGTTGCCAGAAAACGTACTTTCTAACATTGTTGCAGCATCAGAGGGTCAGAGATGTGACAGAAACAGACAGTATAGGGTGTTCCAAAAGTCTGGAAACGATGTTATTCTGGCGAAACTATCAAATTTTTTGGCAAATAAGCGCTATAAAAATGCTATTCAAAAAAATTTTTGAATATTAATTATTTGTTTATACTTACGAGATAAACATAGTAACATGTTTTTTTTAAATGGAAACCTACCACATTTTTTTTTAGACAACGAGCTTGTTACAAGAATTGTTGTCATGCAAAAATTTTTTTTGTAAACCTCACACTTTTTTGTTAAAAAAATGTTTGACTTACAAGAATTAAAGAATATTTTTGAGTAAACTACCAGTTTTTTTGGAAATAAATCAATAAATGTTCAAAGGTTGTAAAGGAGCAATGCCAAAATATTTTTTATTTTAATTAATTGTTTAAACTTTTGACATTACCATACTAATAATTTTTTTCTTAAATAAAAACGGTTTTTTATTGATTTACAAAGATATGTTTATGCATTTTATAAATGTACAAAAATATTTATTGAAAATGTTACAATTTACGTTAAAAAAAAATTGTAAACTTTATCTATTGTCAAGACTTTCTTCCACCGACCATCAGTGGTAAGCACGCCTTCTTTTATATCATTGATATGGCGTCGTCATTTTGCTTTATTTTCCAAATAAAAATTGTTTTTCTCTGGAGAGCTTTCGCTTTTTGAGACAACAGCACACGTTTCTTTAATTTATGTAATAAATATTTGAATATTTCTTTAAAAAAAAACTATTAATTTGTTTTCAAAAAGAAGTAATCACACAATTGAAGGTAATGTTTACGTAGATAATAATTGCAACTATTTGTTTGTTTTTGTAAATACAAAATAATCCTATTACTTTGTGAAAACAAATTATGAGTTTTTTTTTAAGAAATATTAAAATATTTATTACATAAATTAAAAAAAGATGTGCTGTTATCGCAGAAAGCGCTCCAAAGACAAACAACTTTTATTTGGAAAATAAAGCAAAATGACGACGCCATAGCAACGACATAAAAGAAGGCGTAATAAGCTTAATGTGCTTACCACTTCTCGGTCTTAACCGATCAGCCCTTAGCCGGTGGAAGAAAGTTTTGACAACAGATAAAGTTTATAATTTTTTTAACATTAATTGTAACATTTTTAATAACTATTTTTATACATTTATAAAATGCATAAACATATCTTTGTAAAACAATAAATAAAAAACCGTTTTTATTTAAGAAAAAAATTATTACTATCATAATCTCAAAAGTTTAAACAATTAATTAAAATATTTTTTTTTTGGCATCGCTCCTTTACAACCTTTAAACATTTATTAATTTATTTCCAAAAAAAACTGGTAGTTTACTCCAAAAAAATTCTTGAATTTTTGTAAGTCAAACATTTTTTTAACAAAAAAGTGAGGTTTACAAAAAAAATTTTTGCACAGCAACAATTCTTGTAACAAACTCGTTATCTAAAAAAAAATGTCGTAGGTTTCCATTTAAAAAAAAGTTACTATGTTTATCTCGTAAGTATAACCAAATAACTAATATTCAAAATTTTTTTGAATAGCATTTTTATAGCCATTGCTCACCTATAAATTTATTTGCCAAAAAATTTGATAGTTTCGTCAGAATAACATCGTTTCCAGACTTTTGGAACACCCGTACACGACCTTCGGTATTTAAATGCAAACTGGTTGCCTCATATTGCAACCACCGCTGGCTAACTGGATATGCAGGGCTGGTTTCAAAAACATTTACATAAAAAACGTACTATCTAGTTCGAATTAAAAAATAAAAATTAAAAAAAAATGTCCTCTTCAGCTAATAACAATTTAATGTATAAAATACATTTATTAAATTTTTATCACCCAGCAAGAACCACGTGTAGGTATGAGGACGTTTTGCCAAAAATTAAAAAATAACACGCATAAGTGAATGAAAACTTAAGCCAACCCTGATTACAACGGCACGAAACGGGCACGAGTCATAACCGAACCAGACTTCCAGACGCAACTGACCAGTTTAACAAGGTGTTTTTTTTTGCTGCCTCCAAAATAAAATTGGTCGACTCTATCGTGCATTTTTACGACTGAGGACAAAAAAAGGGATTCTAAGCGATCGCCTGAAGCGAGTATTATAAAAATTGAACCAAGTATACTTCACCAGAGGACATTCTGCGCAGCTTGTTTCCTACCGCGGAATTTTATTATTGGTACTATTATAAGTAGTATTGTACAGAGTGGTTATAAATGATTTTCATCTAGCCAGCTGTGAATTTTCCATGTAAAATAAAAAAATGCCGCTTTACGAAAATAGGGGTACCTACTTGTTGTAATTCAAAATTAAAAAATCGCCGTTTACTAAGCGTCCACTTCAAAAATAGACTCAATTATAAACTTGTTTTCTTCCAAAGTATACATTATTATCAATTATTATTGGAAATTAGTTGAAACAATAAAAATTTAATTAACAACAATTTATTATTAATTAATAAGTGACACTAATGACTGAACTAGAGCTTTCAAAAAAGTAGAGCGGCACAAATAAAGTTACACGCAAAAAAATTCCAAAGCTGGCTAGATGAAAATCATTTATAACCACTCTGTACATTTTTAGCACGTTTTGAAAAGCTGGTGATCTTTAAATTGACGATTTTTCTATGTATTTTTTGAGTTAAATTTTAGAGGGAGTGGCTTTTTGGTAGTAATTTGTTTTTGTTTCTCTACTTTTATTCATCATCTATAGGCCATTCCTGCAACTACCACGCTGTGAAAACTCCTCCAAGTTCGAGAAGATGGCGCCAAAACACCTCTAAGTGGGGATATTCACACGAGTTCGATTCCACTCCAGATTCATCGCTCTTTTACGTCGAAAAGCCAGTGTGATTGGACGTTTTCACACACAAGTTCAGAATCCTCCCCACTGTCTGATATTCCACCGGGTAAGTAAAACAAACGCATAATTATCACTTTTAGCCAATTCACTTTTTGCAGAAACTATTCGATTTTTTTTATTTTTGGAGTCATTAATTGTGATTAAACGAGAATCGCTTCCACGTGGTTTTCCGAATTGCAATCACATTTTTTCATTCATAGATTTCGATTTTAATGTGATTTTTTTATTGAAACGTTAGTAAATTACAAATTTGAGAGTGTTGTGTTTGGAATTTGCACGCAATGATTGTTGCATGCCATGTCATTTGACATAACTTTGGTTATGCCGTGGTGTGGTGTTTTCCATAATTTTGTAGCGATAAAAGCATCACTAGATAATATTTTGTTGTTTGTTTTGAAAATGTTGCGAAACTGAAAAAAAAAATCAAAAACTATATTTTTGAAAATATCAAAAACATTATCCCGTCCTCGAAAGCATGTGAATTTTTAAGCATACCTATCTAGTTAATTACACTTTACTTGATAATTGAATGCTTTTTTATTTTTATATAAAGAAAATTGATAACAGTGTTTATAAACAAGTTAAAAGTAAATAATGAATACAGGGCAGTCGAAAAAATATTTTTAAGGCGAACTCTTTTGTAAAATAATTACCATTTTCTAGTATTGGTATAAATTATTTACATTTCAATTAACTATTACTTCACTTTTAGTCTGAATATTTTAAGCCGACATGCAACATCTTCGTCGTGTCATGCTTCTTTCTATTATTTCGTGAAGGGGACATTGAATTGTTAAATGAATTAAATCAAAACGCAATCATTTTTTTTAACTGTACTTAATAATAGAAAACAGATTTTTTTGATTCAATAATTACTAAATATGTAATAGTAGATTACTTCGAGGTGGAAAATGTGTCTGTATCCCGATACAGCCCAAGCCCTTGGGTTAAAGCCAAGGAGTAATGACATTTCCACTGAGGTTTGTATACTATTTTATCCACAATCACATTTTTTTAAATAATAAAATACCCGTTGATATATTAGCATAGTTGCTATGCAAACAAATTGAGTTTTTGATATTTGATGTCGTAATCTTGGTAATCCTTCATAAATTATTTCCTGACCACGAGATGTAATGACAAATTTCTCGACCTCCAGGTAAGCAATCGTCATTTTGCTATAGTGATTTTGAATAATAGTATATTATGATACGAGTTTTATAAGAAGCATTTTGACGCACGCACGGGTTTAGCAGTATGTGCGACAAAGTGCCTTATAAACCAGATATCATACAGTATTTTTTCTACATTTCACTTTTTTAAACAAAACAATTAAAATTTCGGAATGAGGAAATTTTGCGGCAACAGTAAGTAAAGTCCATTTTTTTTTTAAACAATTGTCAATGTCAAAATTCCCTCAAAGACCAGACTGTACTACCCTAAAACCTTTTTTTCGGAACAGCTGTATATTAAAATCTCCCTAGATTAGTAGGTTTGAGGTTATATTAGTAATCTTCAAATGTCAGAAAAGTTTCAAGTGGAAGCAAATTTTTTATTAAAAGACAAGACTGTACTACCCTTAAACCTTTTTTCGGAACAGCTGTATATTAAAATCTCCCTAGATTAGTAGTAGTTTTGAAGTTATGTTAGTAATCTAGACAAGAAATAAAGAAGGTAAGGACACGGAAAAATGCAACTCCTTAATCGGGAAAAAATTATTTAATGGGTAATTTAAATTTTTAGTCATTTTCGGAATCTGATTCAAAATTTTTAGACCACCAATCGTCTTCAGAATCTGATTCTGGAGAAAGTTGAAATTATTGGAGGAATATAATAAAATACTGGATTAGTCATGCAATTTATTGGATGTCGTTCTTTTTTAGGAGTTTTTACACAACCAAAATTGTCAAATTCATGAAGATTTTTAACATGGATTTTTGGTCTGCATATATTCACAAAATCTAATCATAGCTATTTTTCTTGTTATGTTAGGGTCCTGATCCTTACTTTCGGAAACTCATTTTTGTAAACGACTCTTCTTGCGATAAAACACAATTTCACATAATAATTTATTCGAACAATTATTATAATTCAATTAACTCGTACAAGGCTAGACTAAGACTGACTCGTTATCTTATTAATTTCCTCAAAAACGACAACATTCACAAAAAAAACCTTTTGTAATAGTTCCGTTCTTAAAGGTCTCTGTTCGAGGCAGCGTAGGTATTCCTGCTATCCGCAACGTCACAGAAATATTTCTAATACCAACCAATTCCATCTTCACCATTTTCTGTGTCCTTTGCGGCTTTAGTAGCATAACGAAACGGCTGACATTCAATTGACATTTTACGATGCCAACATAATAACATCAAATAACTAATAGCTGATACTAACATATATCACTTTGACAATTGTTTAAAAAAAGGACTTTACCTTTTATTTTACTTTGTCCTATGATCTAAAGGTATGCGTAAACACCACGATAATAATAATGTATTTTTTGCGATGATTAAGTAAACCAAACACAGCAAAAATTTCGTGTTTGAATAATTTGATTTGCGTTAGGCCAATTGACACTGACAGTTTGATGGAAAAACGGTTAGCTTGCCAACATTATAAGACTAAATTTCCCTCTTTTTAGTATAATTTTTATAGCACTGTCAAAACGAAACCCAAAACAGTTTCGTACTGGGCCTTACTACGAACGCAAAGTAGAAAAAAATATTTATTTACATAAAGAGCAAAAGAGTGTTGCATATGTGCGAACATGGGAATACAAAATACCATTTAATGATGGATATTTAGTATTTATTTTGTTATGATCAGATAAAATTTGTAGTTATTTTTGTGCTCTTTACCCATCCTAACGATTTTTTAACACATTGCTTGGTACTCAATAATGTCTTTTAAAGCGGTTATCTTTGCTGAGTATATCGTTTCAGTAAACACAACTTATGCAAATAAAATTTGTTTGCACAATAAAACAATGGTCTATTTTTTTCAGTAATCAATAGCACAAATGGCTGCCGGCAATAGTATATTCGAAGATGGCTTATCACTGCAAGACATGATGAACGATGGCCTTGGACTAACTTACAAGTAAAATTGTAAAACATGCAAAATTTCATTCATTAACTTCTTTGTCTTTTCAGTGACTTTATAATCCTCCCAGGATATATTGATTTTACACCGGACGCGGTTGTATGTATTCTTTTAATTATAATTTTATCAATACTCAATTATAATCTTTTAGGACTTGACGACTCAATTGACAAAGAAAATTACCCTGAAATCGCCTCTTGTATCGTCACCCATGGATACGGTCACAGAATCCTCAATGGCTATTGCAATGGCGGTATTTCACCACAAAATACTCCAATTCTGTTTAATTACATTTGTAATTTCAGCTCTGTGGTGGTATCGGAGTTATACATCACAATTGCTCGCCGGAATATCAGGCAAATGAGGTACTGAAAGTAAAAAAATACAAACACGGCTTTATTCACAATCCGTTTGTGCTGTGCCCGACAAATACGGTATGATTTATGCCAGATTATTTTGAAAATATTTCATAAAATTTTTTTTACAGGTTGCCGATGTTCTAAAAATAAAAAGAGAGCAAGGATTTTCGGGCATCCCTATCACTGAAGATGGGAAAATGGGTGGGAAACTTGTCGGTATTGTTACTTCAAGAGATCTCGATTTTCTTGAAGATCAAAACTACGTAACCTCGAAGCTCGAAACTGTAAGTAACCTCTACAGGGTGTCTTTTTGATGTTTATTTGTTGTGACCTTGTATACAAGCTATAGGCTATTGAAAGAGGAAACAAGAAGCTGTATATTAAATTGTAACCCTGTTCAAATGTTATACAGGCTGCGCCAGAACTTGCGCCCCAGAGAAAAATGCCTTGAAAAAAGTGTTAAAAAAATTCTACCTATAAAAATTTTGAAGTTATGAGAATTTAAATTTTGCACTTTGTATTTCTGTTGGAAAAATAATTTTCCAAGTTTTTTTGCTCCAGGCTATGAGAAAAGGAAACAAGGAAGCTAACAATTAGTTTCTATCAGAAATCAATAGGGTCAAGTCAAGTGTAAAATTTGAACTCCCATAATTTCGAAACTTATAAATAGAATTTTTTTTTTAATTTTTCGGTTCCTGGTAATTTATCTTGCTTGACATTTTTCTCTGGGGCGCGAGTTCTGAATTAGCACTGTACAGGGTGCTGCATTTTGGATGTCCCAATAGGGAATCTCCGAAAATAATATGTTTCGCCAAAAACGAGTGATACATTCTGGGGCTCATTTTTTGAGAAAATAATATTGGTTAAAACCGCATCCCGCTATCGTCTTTTGTTTTCGACAAAAGTTGACATTTTGGCGAAATTAAAAAAAATTCATATCTTGGTTATTATAAAAGATACGGATTTGAAATAAAGACATTATACAGACACTTTTTTACGAGGAATTTAATAATGTAGTTAACAATTTTTTTCAGTTATTAGTTTAGCCGTAATAAGATAAACTTGTATTTTTTTAAATAGAAATCATAGGCGGCTATGGCAGTTTTGAAAAGCTTATTTTTTTCTGATCTAAAAAATATTAATTTGTAACAGAATATTTTTTTTATAATTATACTTAAAAATGAAATACATATTTTGTTTGATAATAGTTGACGATAGAAAAATTATTTCTCTCCAAATTTGTAAATAATAATCAATAAGAGTTTTGTGAAGTGTAAAATAGATGAAAAAATAGATAAAATTATAATAATTTAAAAAATGCGATACGTTAGAAGTATTGAACAAATATGTGAGTGCCTCAGAACAAAATTATGACATATTTTTAAAAAAATCAAAAAATGGGGAAAACAAATGTGTCAACAGTCAACACAATTAAAGAAAACATTTTTTTTGATAATCTAATGGAGGTAGGACAACATTCCACATAGACAGAATTTGGGTATTTGAATAGCCACATCGTCATTTTTGTGTCATATAAAATATATTTTATTGAAGAATTAAAGCGGCTTTTTTACAACACTCAATTTGTCACTAGAAGTTACAATGGTAATGTTAGCTTCTTTAAAAACAAAGAAATGGTATTAGTCGCCAATAAGTTGATTTACGTTTTATTTTGAATTTTTTTCATTACTTAGTACTTAGAAAACTCTTTCATTAGTGACACTGGTTGAATATTATCGTTTAAATTCTTTTAGTTGAAGGTGCAACATTTTTTCATGGCCAACTGCGAACAAAAATCAAATATAATTTTTTGCTAAAAATGTATTATAATAATTTGTTACAAATATATTTTCTAGATAAGAAAAAAACAAGCTTTTTAAAAATGACATAGCCATCTATGATTCCCATTTAAAAAAATACAAGCTTATTTTATTACGGCTAAACAAACAACTGAAAAAAAAAATGTTAACTACATTATTAAATTCTACGTAAAAAAGTGCCTCTATAATGTTTTTATTTCAAATCCGTATCTTCTATACTGACAAAGATATGAATTTGTTTAGATTTCGCTAAAATGTCAATTTTTGTCTATAAGTCAAAAACAAAAGACGATAGCGGGATGCGGTTTTAACCAATATTATTTCCTCAAAAAATGAGCCCCAGAATGTATCACTCGTTTTTGGCTACATATCTTAGTTTCGGAGATTCCCTATTCGGACATCGAAAATGCAGCACCCTGTATAGTCCGAACTATTTGTAGGTAGTGTATAACGACATATAAACCAAAAAATTTCGATAGATCGTTTCAACTGACTCACCCTGTAATAAATATAAATTAATTGCTTTTTAAAAAGGTAAGACGCTCGATATTGATAAAAAAAAAATAAGAATATTAAATAGAACTTCTAATGTAAAGGATGATTTAGATTACTTTTGCTTGTAATTTGACACAAAAAGCTGCAGATTTAAATTGGATTCTTATTTTTACTGAATAACAGGAATAATAGCAGTAATGGATAATAATAATATGTAATAATAATATTTTTATTTTAAGATAATGACAAAACTGGAAGATCTGGTAACTGCACAATCTGGAGTGACCCTCCCCGAAGCCAACTCCATCCTTGCCAAAAGCAAAAAAGGCAAACTCCCAATAGTCAACGCCGAAGGAAATCTCGTCGCTTTAATGGCCCGAACTGATCTGAAAAAAGCCAAAAGTTACCCCACAGCATCCAAAGACGACAACAAACAATTGATAGTTGGGGCAGCCATTGGAACTCGCGACGAAGACAAAGAACGTCTCAAACTTTTAGTCAATGCTGGAGTCGACGTTATTGTTCTCGACTCTTCGCAAGGCAACTCGATTTACCAAATCGAAATGATCAAATACATAAAAAAATCGTACCCAAGTTTGCAAGTGATCGCCGGAAATGTTGTTACTGCCAAACAGGCGAAGAATTTGATCGATGCCGGCGCCGATGCACTACGTGTGGGAATGGGAAGTGGGAGTATTTGCATAACACAGGAAGTGATGGCGGTTGGGAGGGCTCAAGCCACGGCTGTGTATAGGGTTTCGCAATATGCGAAGAAATTCGGGGTGCCTGTTATAGCAGATGGGGGGATTCAGTCCATTGGACACATTATCAAGGCTTTGGCTTTGGGAGCTTCCTCCGGTAAGTGAAATTGAGGAAAATTAAATTAATTCTAAATAACAAAAACTAATTCTGAAGAAGTAGCCCGGCCTAATTAGTCATAAAAATAGTGGTTAAATAACGGAAATTCCGACAGTGTGCTAAAAAGTTATGCGAGGTCAAAGGTCAAAATTTGAGGTTTTTTAATTTTTTTTCGAAAACGGTAAGTTTTATCAAAAAAGTAGCCCAGACAAGAATTATAGATCTTAAAATTATCTACAAAAATGGTTTTCTTAGAATCAACATTCCTGAGATATCGCGATTTTAAAAGTTGAAGGAGTAACGTTCTACATCATATGCACATACAGAGTGCGCCAGAACTCGCGCCCCAAAGACAAATGCCATAGGGTAAGGTACCAGGAACATAGAAACAATTAAAAAAAATTCTATCTATAAAAATTTCAAAGTTATGAGAGTTTCACTTTTGAACTTTGACTCTTATTTATTTCTGTAGGATAAATAATTTTCCACGTTTTTTTGCTACAGGCTATTAGAAGCGGAAACAAGGAAGCTGTATCCTAAGCTGTAACTCTGTTTAATGTTATTTGTAGCTTTTATTGACAAAATTTTTGTACCTTTATCAATTAATTATAAAAAAACATATACAAGGTCATCAGTATTATTAAATAGACATAAAAAAATGTCAAATGTCAAAATTTTTTGACAGACAGAATTTTTTAAACATTTTTTCAGTACTCTGGGAACTATCCAATTACTCCCTTTCAAAAAAATTCGCGATTTTTTAAACACCCTGTATGTATTACCAAATAAGTTCTTTTTAATTCTAATGGAATCGAGATATTTATAAGTTTAATGAAGAAGAAGAAAAATTTCAAGTAAGATAAGATACCAGAAACATGGAAAAAATGTTTTAAGAAATTCTATCTGTCAAAAATTTTTGACATTTATTTTTTGACATTTGACATTTTTTATGTCTATTTAATGATACTGATGATTTTGTATATGTTTTTTACAATTATTTAGTGAAGGTACAAAACTTTTGGCAACAAAAGCCACAAATAACATTAAACAGAGTTATAATTTAGAATACAGCTTCCTTGTTTTCTCTTCTAATAGCCCGTAGCAAAAAAACTTGTAAAATTATTTGTCGTACAGAAATAAATAGAGTTAAAGTGCAAAATTTAAACTCTCATAACTTCGAAATTTTTATAGATAGATTTTTTTTTTAATTTTTTCCATGTTCCTGGTACCTTACCCTACATAGCATTTTTCTTTGGGGCGCGAGTTCTGGCGCACTCTGTATGTGCATATCATGTAGAATGTGACTCCTTCAACTTTTAGAATCGCGTTATCTGAGGAATGGTGATTCTTAGAAAAAAAGTATAGGCACCATTTTTGTAGATAATTTTAAGATCTATAATTTTTGTCTGGGCTACTTTTTTGATAAAACCGTTTTCAAAAAAAAAATCTAAAAAAATTTTGACCTTTGACCCCGAATAACTTTTTTAGCACACATGGGATCGATGGGGACTTTTGACATTTTATTCCTAATGGTGCACCCAAGATCTCCACCAAAATTTAGCTCTATCGGAATTTTAGTTATTTGAAATGTCTATTTTGACCGGACTAAAGGATGTAGAACTCGCTTTTGTTACAATAATTTTTGTTTGTAGTGATGATGGGGTCTATGCTAGCCGGTACTTCTGAAGCACCCGGCGAATACTACTTTTCGGATGGTGTGAGATTAAAGAAATACAGGGGAATGGGTAGTATTGAGGCTATGAATAGGAAGGATGCTATGGGTTCTGCCATGAATAGATACTTCCACAGCGACGCCGACAAACTAAAAGTGGCCCAGGGTGTTAGTGGAAGTATAGTTGACAAGGGATCTGTTTTCCGCTTTGTTCCGTATTTACAATGTGGAATTAGACATGGTTGTCAAGATATAGGGGTTAAGTCTTTGACTAAACTAAAGTAAGAACTTTTTCAATTTTGTATGTTTGATTATTCAATTCATTTTTTTAGACAATTGATCGATTGTGGAGAAGTTCGATTTGAGAAGAGGACACATTCAGCGCAGTTAGAAGGAAATGTTCATGGTTTATTTTCGTATGAGAAAAGATTGTTTTAACATAAGTTGCCGAGTAGCCAAACCAATTTGACCCATTTATGTAAAAACATTGTCGATCTGGTTTGATTACACAAATGACGCGGGAATTGTGTTGTAAATAAATTCTTATGTGATATAGGTACTGTCGGTGTCGCATTTTCTGATATTTGTAAATATTGTGTATTTCCAACAATCTGCGTTTATCACTTTTAAACAATTATTTTTGTTGAAAAAGTATTATAGAAATTTTAATACAATAGAAACATATTTATTTAATGCTGTATTTATAAGTAAGTGTACGTATATAAGTGATGTACCTATATTTTTTATATTAGTTATGTTTTATTAAAAAATTATGGAAATGTTTGTTCTGTTTGATGTCCTTCAATACTATTTATAAGGGGCTTGCAGTAGAGATGCCATAAACAAATTTGCATTTCGTAGGACAGGCACGTTTCAAAGGTTTGTAGGAAGATATGGTCCCTAACAGAAATATGTTTTTGGACTTTCATCAAAAAAAAAATAATTTTAGTATTCAGCTATATTTTGAGATTGTTTCTTTACAAATCTGCATTATCACTTCAATATTAAATTAATATACTGGCTGTTCCGTCTAAACCCCACTTTAGAAGTATTGGGAGTTGGAATAATCGTATTTATTTGAAAATTGGTACATAGCCATAAACCATTAAGTCCTCCTAAATGAAAATATTTTCAAGATGGCGACACTTCCGGTTATACCGGAAGTCGGTCTCAACTTTCTTATTTTAAATGGAAAGGTATATTTTTTACTGCGTTTTTGGACTAATCGGGTTATTTTAAGGGAGTTTTCATCAGCTTTCCCTATACCTAAATTTAGCCGTTTTTGAAATATTTGGAGTTTTTCAAAAATTTTTGGATTTGCACCTTCCACTTTAAAAACCGGTAACTCTGCCATTTTTTAAGATGTTAAATTCGTTTTTTGGCGTTTAAAAGAGAAAGCTTAGATCCTTTTTCTGATGTTTTCAAATTTTGAAAAAAAATAACATATCCTAAAATTTTAAGGTTACTTTTATAATAATTCAAATACTCAACTCAATTTTTTCAAATGAAATACCCCAATTTTTATTTTACTAAATAGAAGAGAATTTAATTGTGCAATGATCTGAATTAACATTTCCTATTCCTAAATTTAATAATTTTCAAGTTATGGACTTTTTTTAATACTACAGAAAATTTATTACTAGCCATACCCGTTTTCACATAGTTTGCTATAGAAATCAAAAATGTCAAAATTATTTCTCAGTAAACGTCGACAGTGACTTATTATTTGCCAAATAGTGCCAAAATATGGAGAATCAAAGTTATGCAAACTTAATTATTGATAGCTTCTACCATGCAATCATTATTTAAAGCTAACAAGTGAGAAAAGTTTATTTTTGTTTAATGAACGATATCATAATTTTGTTACACTCTCCATAAATACAAAATAAATTAATTAAATCTAAGTTTGAGTAGCTTTGACTCTCCATATTTTGGCACTATTTGTCAAATAATAAGTCACTGTTGACATTTATTGAGAAACAATTTTGACATTTTTTATTTCCATAGCAAAATATACGAAAACGAATGTGGCTAATAACAGATTTTCGGCAGTCTGAACAAAAAGTCACCATAACTTAAAAATTATTAAATTTAGGTATTCTAACCTTACAGTTTGTATTCAATGGCGGCATTTCAAAATGCTCTAGAAAAATTCAAATTTGAGCGGGAGAATTGCTCATGACGTGTGATCGGAGTAGTTTTGGACCCTTTTTAAAATAAGATAACCCTACGTTGTGGTTGTTAGTTTGTTCGTAATAATCCTTCGTCGTTTCTTCGAAGCACTGAACAAACGGATGGGAGTAAAATTAAATAATCAAGAAATAAAACACTAATGTTTTATTAATATGAAGTATAATTCAACAATTAAATAAAACAACAATAGGAAATTCGCTGGTAATGAATTTATCAAATAAATTATGTCACAACAAAAAAAAACTCGAACAATTAATAAATACATTCAGAAAAACAAATCAAGGCATTCTTATGAAACAGTTTCTTTTCTTTTTACTGTGAAAACCTCGAATCCAATGTACAAAAATCTACAACACAATTTCCGATACCGCTGTAGCCATCTCCCAATCTCGAAGGAGAAAGGAAGAAAAAAACATATATCAAGGACTCTCAATCAATCAAATAATCGCGTCTCGAAACCCTACAACTCTGTCGAGTCGACAATGGTATTGGACCTATGGTCTCTTTAGTGGGCAAAAACCGTCCTTTTTCGACAAGCTCCTCTTTTGTGCCCTGTGTACGTGGAAGCGTTATTACTTATCAGCTACCGGGACTTTGCTGATATGATTGCCCAATTAAAGGAGAGTAAAGAACAGTAAAAGACAGATCGCAATGCAGCATGCATGAAACCAGGAGAAGCTACAGAAGTTTTACTTTTCATCTCGCGTTACATAAAACAAACCCGAAAACTTAATCTTTTACCAGACGAATTATCCATTTACAAAACTCATGGCAAATTAACAACAATCATGATTATTATGAAGAAAACAACGTTTTAGGCACAATTTTCACGTAATATCGATACAGAATTTATGTTTTTGGTGACGTAATTAGTCATACCCCCTGTCGCGTCCGGTCTCATCTTCCTGAGCCCCACGGTCTCCTCTGCAGCCTCCTCCAAGCGACGACGCTTCCTTCTCTTCCTCGATGGAAGTCCCCCGGTTGTAGTCGACATCACGAAAGTTTCCAAAATTCGATTTTCAAAACCCACCAAATTTCGACTCACTCTTCGCCTGCCCAACGACGACTGCCACACCTTCCTTTGTTTTCCCATTTTTCGAAAAACCAAAAAAAAAACACAAAATCCCCCCTTTCCCACTGTGGCGTGATCCGTCACCGCAGAGTCAAATAAAATTTTCAAAAATGCATAGGCAACACATTTTACCGAATAATTAAATACAAATGGTACGGTTACAGTATAGGGAATGTTAATACAGATCGATGCAGAATTAAATTCTCCTCCATTTAGTATAATAAAAATTGGGGTATTTCATTTGAAAAAATTGAGTTATGGGTATTTGAATTATTACAAAAGTAACCTTAAAATTTTATGGTTTCTTAATTTTTTTTCAAAATTTGAAAACACCGAAAGAAAGATCTAAGCTTTCTCTTTCAAACGCCAAAAAAACGAATTCAAAATTTTAAAAAATAGCAGAGTTACCGGTTTTTAAAGTGGAAGGTGCAAATCCAAAAATTTTTGAAAAACTCCAAATATTTCAAAAACGGCTAAATTTAGGTATAGGGAAAGCTGATGAAAATGCCCTTAAAATAACCCGATTAATCCAAAAACGCAGTAAAAAATATACCTTTCCATTTAAAATAAGAATGTTGAGACCGACTTCCGGTATAAGCGGAAGTGCCGCCATCTTGAAAATATTTTCATTTAGGAGGACTTAATGGTTTATGGCTATGTACCAATTTTCAAATAAATACGATTATTGCAACTCCCAATACTTCTAAAGTGGGATTTAGACGGAACACCCTGTATAAATTGCCAAATTTAATAAATTTTAATAAATTAAAAGCCTATCACGAAAATTCCTGAATACGGCTCTTTTGTAAATCACCAGCAGTGAAAAATTATTAGTGCCGACCGCAAGGCAGCTTAACCCTCAATAAAGCTTTGCATACGTCAATTCCAAATATTCCTGGTTACGACTATAGTAAGCTTTAAATTTATTACAGGCAATTTTGCAATTTATATATTTTATATATTAATTTAATATTCGAGTGATAATGCAGATCAGTTTATTTGTAAAGAAATATTCTCAAAATATAGCTAAATATTAAAATTAATTTTAGCTAATTTTAAATTTAATTTAAAATAAATTTAATTAATTATTTTTTTTGATAGAAGCCCAAAAACAAATTTCTGTTACGGACCATCTCTTCGTTTCGTATAGTCGTAACCAGGAATATTTGGGATTGACGTATGCAAAGCTTTATTGAGGGTTAAGCAGCTTTGCGGTCGACCATAGAATAATTTTTCACTGCTGGTGGTAGAACTGACGCGATTTGAGAAGAACACAGTGAGAATCATCACCATTGCCGTCTCCATAGAAATAATCCTTTTCTCGCCTGGGCATTTTTTGAGTTCAACTGATTTCCGTTGGCGCTTTAATCTGGGGAAAATTTTTGACAAATCCAGTTTTTTAGCTTAAAGGGTTCAATCTCATAATATCAATTCTCCCTGGCGTATCTTGTTTTGTTGTATCCTTCCTCCAATGCATTTTTTATGAAATGCCCAGGCGGGATATTGATACATTTGATTAAGGAGGCGGTGGTCATCACGATCTGACCGTAAGCTTTGAGCCAGTGGCGTAGTGGTTCTGTTCGTGTAACGGGATACCGCGTTAAAATTTGAGAAAAGTAAAAATTGACGTATAACGTATTCAGTAAGGGCAATTTTTACTTTTATTTGTAAAAATTCAATCGGTGAATTAAATAAAGTGAATAAGCAATATCCAAGATTATTTTACATTTATTTATAACAATTTATTTTCATTTTTTTATTTATAGAGGCTGAATGCGTAGTTTCTTCGTCCTCCTCTTTGGTATCAGACCAGCAAAACTCTACTTTTGAATTGCCAGTATTTACTGTGAAACACAATTCTTGGGCAATTTCTCTTTCGCATAAAGTGCTTTGTGGACGTTTCTGGGCAAAATTTTTGGGTGGAGAAGAAAATGAAGATGAAGTCCAGCAGCTATTTGTTTCATTTGTTTTTCAATGGAACGGTCGCTTTTTTCGCCTATTCAAGTAGCTGCTAAAACATAATCTTTATAATTGTTCAAAGGAATTTTTAAGCCATTTTCCGCCTCCTCCTTGACAAATTTCATAACATTGGCAATTAATTCCCGTGTTTGAGTTTAAAAGACCATGTCTTTAACTCCAATGTTTGAGTTATTGGGCATTGTATACAAAAGTATTATCTATAATAATGTTAAAATATTTTTTTTGATTTAAAATAGTTATAAGAAAGTCGAAAGTGTGAACTTACTTACTTTGCACAATACAGAGCAAAACCGAGTTCTGGAATGAACTGATTTTATAAAAAAAAAGAAAAAAGCGGAAAGAACACAAACGACACGAACAGATTAAACAATACTATGAGAGACTGGTAAATTAAAATTGGAAAATTGTAACAGGTATCCCAAAAAGGGATTAACCCAAAGAATTCTGGCAAGAAAACGATAACAAAGCCGGTGTTGTATTTGAAAAATAATTGTTCCATTTTGTTTGTAATCAATTGTCAATTAGCTTTGCCTAGAATTGCACGGCAATGATGTGTCGCGTGTTGAGTGTTCGGAGTTTACCATGAGTTTGAAAATGGGCTACACTGAGAGAACAGTTTTTTACTAGTTAAAGATTTAGCTTAAATGTAAACTAATAGAATACGGCGGAAGAAACTATTGTTATCAGAGAATAAATAATTTGTTTGGAATTTCCAAACATAGCATTTCTTAGTTTTTAAGTGATTCTGATTTTATAAAAACTTAACATCTACTTTAATATTATCATTGCATTGTTAATAGTAAGAAATATTTATTAACAAGAAACAAGGATCATTAAAGATTATAATAATCTCGCATTAGATATTAAAAAATGTGTTCTTGATAGTTAAGAAGTATATCTTAAAGGGAAAAATATTTTTTAGGTAAAAATATACCGGATTGCTAATCAGTATAGCCACCAGCAGATGTATAAACCTAACAAAAAAATAAAACTGTACATATATTATTTAGAACAATTTATTAAGCAAAATAATAAACATTTAAAACATCATTAAGTACAAATTATGTATTTAGTACTGCACGGGGACGGGGATGCCAGGACGTCAATCACTGCATTAACACTCATAAATAAAAAAAATAGACTTTAAAATTGAAAAACTTACCAAAGATGCAGATTTGTACTTTTTAATATTCCGCATCAATTTGAATTGGTCATCAAATTTTGACACCAACTGGGGAAAGAAACTCTGAACAAGATCCAGCAAAATATCATATGTCATTCCTTCATCTGAATAAAAAAAAACAAGAAGTAGATAGTTAGATTCCATCAGTTTAACATTAAATATAATTGCTTAATATTTAACAAAAGTTTTTATCGACAACATACTCTATTATTTACAAAATGAAATTATTGCAGTTGAAATAACATTATGGAGAATGTAGTTTGCAACAGTCCAAATCAGCCACTGCTCGAATCTATTGCTCTTAAAAATATTTTTATCTTAATACGCAGAGCGTGTTGCAATTAAAAATTTCTGGTGGTGGCTGATCCGGCGATTGTAAATATCATTATACTAACCTTCAAATTTTTGCCACTGCTTCAGCAGCTTTTGGCACTTTTCGTCAACCGTTCTCCTGCACTCCTCAAAAAACAAACCCAAATACAACAGAAAAAACAAATGACCATTAAACTATTCGTTCATGTAAAGACTCGTTTGAAGAAAGTTGGAGCACATTCACCACACACAACGTGCAACTGCATGTTGTGGTGAGCATGCGCACTGACATGACGCGTGCAATTTTTCCAAGTAATATTTACTTATTTACATTTGAAGTTCCGTTTGTTATATGTTAAGATCTTTATGCTGGTTAAAAAAGAATAAACTGTTGTTGAATAATCGTTTCCATTGGTTATCATGTAAAGAAAATACATTATTGACTAAACAAAAATTTAAATAGATTTATTAACAATTAAATTATTACTTATTTATTACGATCTATAGTTTACATACTAAATTAAAATACCGTAAAGAATATTTTGTTCAATTATAATAAATCAATAACTTAATGGAAAACCCTACATGTTATTTTCCAATGTTGGTTATTGCTTGAGAGCATCCATGGATTAGTATTAAACTTTTCTTAGTCAAACTAATCTATCATTTAGCTGTTACTATTCATTTTTCTCAGTGTAGGTAGGACCAAAATTCGTCCGTCGCACATCAACAAAGATGTGTTCTTCTCAAACCTTATTAGCTCTATCTACCACCAGCAGTGAAAAATTATTACGGTCGACCGCAAAGCTGCTTAACCCTCAATAAAGCTTTGCATACATCAATCCCAAATATTCCTGGTTAGGACTAAAGTTGTGCTAAAATTCTTGTCAGTTTGGTGAAGTCGTCAAGACGAATCGTTTGTACTGAGTGAAATAGTGAATCGTTGTATACGTATAATATAGTTATATAAAAAGTGGACATGTGGAGGCCGTGGGAAAATGATTTTGTTGGAATCATTGTGGATGCAGCAGAAAATCAGCATCAACCAACAGAAGAGGTAGCGGAGGCGGAAACATATACGAAACGAAAACGCAAATTTTTATCGTATGATGAGAAGACTTTTGTTTCAAATATATATAACAAAGTGAAAAGTGAGGGTGAACAGCAGCCACTAGATAAAACTGCAGAAGTGACTGGAATACCAAGGTCCACAGTGTGGAGAATCATCAATACCGGATCAAAGAAGAGGAAAGTAAGGTGTGACAAAGGAAGTTTTAGAAAACTTGCTCCAATTGACGAAGACTTCATAAGACTAAAAATATACGAACTGTATAAAAATAACATCATTCCGACTATCTCCATGTTGCACAAGGAACTGAGAAACGACGGTACAATAAGTTGTTCCAAAAACACTTTGCTGCAATTTCTAAAATCTATCGGATTTTTATTCAAAAAAGTGGAAAAAAAAGCAGTGTTAGATGGAAAGTGAATAAATAAGAAAAAGGAGATATGAATATTTAAGAACCATAGATAAATATAGGCAAGAAAAGCGGCCAATTATTTTCTTAGATGAAATGTGGTATAAAACGCATGCACGACACCATCAAGAAGGAATGAGTGGATCACGATACAGTGATCAAAAGGTGTTTTCCAAGAAACACAAAATTGACACTCTTGCGTCAGAATTCGAGCACGCACTTTTATGCTTACCCCCATATCACTGCATATTTAATCCTATTGTAAATAATATGGGGGCAATTTAAACAAAGAATACGGATAGAAAACACTAGTACCAAGTTTAGTAACGCAATGCTCCTAAAAATTCGACACGAGGTTGCAGTAATCTTGGAAAACTTCTGTGCGACATGTGGTGGACATTGAAGATTTCTATAGGGCTAATCATGTGAAAGACTTAATAATTAACTTGATGCCGACATTTCTAGTGATGAATAAAATTTAGAACTTTTCTTTTTATTGTAAATAATTTTTGATATCACACAATTTTAAATTTTATTAAACTATCTTTTTTATTTTTTTTTATTTTCTTACTTATTTTTTCTTGGTGTCGTAATTAAAATTACGGGTATTAATTCTCACTTAAATAAAGTTTGGTGCTTAGGTAGATAGGGTGTGTTATTTTACTTAATTTAATTTAAGTCATGTATACATGGTTCGCCAGAACTCGCGCCCCAGAGAAAAAAATTCAAGTAAGATAAGATACCAGAACCATGGAAAAAATGTTTAAAAAATTCTAGGTGTCTGTCAAAAAAATTTGACATTTATTTTTTGACATTTGAATTTTTTGTCTTTTTAATGATACTGATGATCTTGTATATGTTTTTTACAATTATGTAGTAAAGGTACAAAAATTTTGACAATAAAGACCACAAATAACATTAAACAGAGTTACAATTTAGGATCCAGCTTTCTTGTTTCATCTTCTAATAGCCTGTAGCAAAAAAACTTGGAAAATTATTTTTCCAACAGAAATAAGTAGAGTCAAAGTGCAAAATTTAAACTCCCATAACTTCGAAATTTTTATAGATAAATTTTTTTAACATTTACCTGGTATCTTACCATATTTTTTCTCGGGGGCTCCAGTTCTGGCGCAGCCTGTATATATTTTTGTAAATCACTCATAAAACTGCATTAAATGCTGCTGTTAAACTGGCGTAAAAATTATTACATATTTTAATAAAATATGTTTTTCTGAATTCGTGTATGCACAAATATTTGATTTTTTGTGACAAGATTTTTTTTTAATAAATAAACATGCTGTGACTTGTAAAAATAAATAATAAGTAAAATTAATGAATAATGGTACTTTTTTAATGATTAAAAAATGACATTTAAAGTACTGTCATTTGTGAACGAAAGCTTCGTTTTCTTAACGCAATTACATAAAAAAAGCAAATCAAAACGTGTTTATTTTGTGGAATCCCTACTGAAAATATTTGCACAAATCCAGATAGTGGAAAAAAAGAACATCTGAATTACCTCCGTGGATGTCTTATAACACTAGATCTAAGAATATTGGCGAAATATGATTTTTGGAATAAATTTTATCCCATTTCCAACTTTGTGTAAAAACAACTGGAACAAGAACTCTTTAATATAAATTTATTACAAACAAACGATAACCACTTTGTTTGTGTGTTGAAAATGTTTTTACTACATATAATTTGGATGTTTTTAACAATTATTTTTCTAAGCCGACTATAAGAAATAGGTCTTGTTCTGTGTAATATTTGTTAAGAAGAAAATTTTCATAGTATGCAATAAACAGCAGTCATATAGGCCTGTTTTGGTTATAATGTTTTTAGTAGGTGTATTTAAAAAAGTAAAATCAATTGCTGGAAAATCTCTACAAAGAGTAATTCCATGAGAAAACAATCACTTTTTAATCTTATTGTGATTCCAACTCTCTAGGAATTTTTTTCACCGATTTGTCTAATTTGACTGGTCTATAAACCGAAACTAGTCCAATTTGGTTTTTATTTTATCCCGGTTGGGTCGACCCCTAATTTTAGTTTCACTTCATTTCCATAGAAGTTAAATATAAAAATTACGATTTATTCATTTAAAATTTAGCTGTTATGTCGTATAGGGTGAATATATGGAACCAAGCGTTTTTTTAAAATCATTTGTCTCTAGAAAATAATGATTAATATAAATTAAAGTAATATAAAAAATGTGATCGTATTTTTCCAAAAAATAAGTAGTTTAAGTAAAAACCGTTTGGTTCCATACTTTTTATTCACCTGGTATAAAAATTATCTAAAAAGTAAGATTTACATAGACATAATATCTTATCTACGAGTAAGTTATCATTCGCTTATTTGTTACATACAATTCTGACTGGGAAAAATACAGCAAAATATCAGGTGAAGCTAACTTGCAAAGCTATCCAATTCTACTCCTGGAGTCAGTAAGTTTTGTGTATAAATAAGTTAATTGATCTAATAGTAAATTTAATTATAATTGTTTCACAGTGCATAATTACTAAGGATATGGACGTTTGACAATTTCATTGAATAAACCGTTGGAGTACCTACCCAACAGAAAATGTAAGTAGATATAAAGAAATACTTTGAAATCCAGTATAGTTCATAGAGGCATTTAAGCCTTTGTACCAGTGCAAGATAAACAAAAATGACATTGTGGTTTTTAGTTAAAGAATTTAGTTTTAGAAAATATTACACATACAGGGTGATTCAAAAGTGTCGTACCATCTCTTGGGGGGTGATAAAGAACATCCAACTGAGTAAAAAATTCCCATCACAAAAAAATTGTTTTAGTCTTTTCACTAGATATAGTTTTCCAAAGGTTATATTTTGGGTAAAGCGTTTAGCCGATCAGATCATGTATTCTTGAAATTAGTTAGCGAAAACTGCAGATTGTGCAGCATTTAACTGTTAAAAAAATCAACAATTTGTGTCTTAAGGGGTTCAAAAAATTTAACTAGCAAATTTAACAATAAATTAAATCCGAGAACATCGGAAACAAAAGAGCTAAAGTGCTCACATGATACATAATATAGAAATTGACAGTTCTATTTTTTCTTAAAAAAATGCTTGAAAAAAAAACTTATGCTTAGCTGAAAGTCTACATGCCACCATTCGAAAACTGGCCCCACATTTTTGAATCACATTGTATTTGATAAAAAATAAAGTGCTATTATAAATATTAATATGAAAAGTTTGTAAAAACTTTTATTCACAATCATAAAGTAATAATCAAATTACCTACCTTGCATGTGAAATTTGGAAAGTATGACACTTAAGTTCATTTAACATTTAACAATTGATTGAAACATCATGTTCAGGTTGACAAGTGGTCACTTCTTTATCAGTTGATAAATAATTTGACAATTTTCAGGTTAGGAAATAGCCACTTCCTAATCCGAAAACTGATAAGGAAGTGACCACTTCCTGAGGTGTCATGTATTTTATTTCAAAATTTGATTAATCCTTCATTGACTTTCTGTTTGTTAAGGAGGATGATTGTGAATAAAATAGTATACAAATATTGGTGGTCCACCTCCCACCTCGGTATGTAATTTACTAATGCTTGCCTTATTTCTGGTTTTTGCAAATGTTATTCTATGAAAATTTTGTTTACTAAAATTGAATTCTATTTAAACAGTGGAGAGTTGTAATTCTAAAATAATCAAAAAAATGAAAAAATAATAATTATGCTTGAAAACCTATTATATTTTTTTGAACTCACCGCCGTCAAACAGACATTTCGACTGGCTTTTTTGAGCATTCTAAAAATAATTTGATAAAATAAATAATAGTAAATCTGGTTTACAAAATGCAATCTTTCTAATTTAAAAATTTCGAAAGAGTAAAATAAAATCGCTATTACGATTTCCAAGTAATTTAACAATCAATTTTATTAATAAGAAAAAATGTTAATGTTTGTTTCAAAAAATATTGTTTTCGCATATATGAAGCACTGGCTCCTGTGTCGCTCGTGGCAAATACTTAAAATAGGAATCTGCTTGTAGTATATGTACAGTCGATCAAAATGAAAATGACGCCTCAATAAACCAGCCCCTGCTGGGATGCCGACCCTTCTAACCACAAGAAGGCAGAGTCGTAAATTATCGAATTGCAAACTTGACGTAGTTTCAAGATAAATTTCTTTATGAGCCGATTTACAGAAAGAAAAAAAAAATGAAAATTTAATTCAGAATTAGGCTAATTCGAATTAAGTTGCTATTTATTTTGCATTAAAGGTCAAGTTAAATGTAATTTTTTTAATCAAAAATTTAACAAAACATTTCTTGAAGAAAATTATGCATTAATTAAACATTGACAAAAAAACAAATCATTATTTCATATTTTCAAAATAAAATTATTTTATAAATCAATTAAAATACAAAGTGATCCACAATGACTGAATATGTTGGCAATCCTAACAGTTTATCAAAAAAATTAATAATAATATGTTTTTTTGTAAATCGTAAATCATCCTAAATGCATAATTTTATTTTTCTAATTTGCATTTATAATACGTTTATTAACGTCTCCAGTAGGAGTCGTTTATGGCTATCTATAGAAGCACACTGTGCTTTAATGAATTTAGGGTTATTTAGTTTTTGGATGCCGCTTTTGACTTGTCAGGTAGCAGATTTTGCGTTGTTGCTTCGGCAATTTCGCGAATTTCGGGCGGAGTGCAAACTAAATTCTGTTTCTCATATTTTATTTATTATTATTATGTTGTAACACTAATAACTAATAATTTGTAAATTTTATTTTTAATGACAGACGGCAGAAATGATTCAAAAAAACAGGTGGGCGCCGAGTGTTACCAACCGATACCAACTAACACAAAATTCTCTAGGCGACAAAAAATATATTTTTTTAATTAAAATAAGAAAAAAGGGGGTGCAAATTAGAAAAAATAGCATAAAATACTCGTTTTATAATGTCATTGGCGCACTCATCCCATAGAAAACTCGCCTATGGCTCGTTTTCTAACTTGGGATTCGTGCGCCAAATCTACCCTTATAAAACTTGTTCTTTAATATACTATTATGAAATGGTTTTTGTTAAATTGTGTATTTATAAAACTAAACATTTTTATTTAATTTAAAAATATTACAATTATCAAATAATAAATTTTAAACTTTCTTCGCAAATAAACAATGGTTTAATTCATTAATATATCTATTTTCAGATACCTAATGCAGGAAAGCCTTGTTACACAACAAACGAGTATATCACCGGTAAATCCGTTCATAAAATAAACATTCTTATGTTAAGATAAAATTTTCCATTTTTTCAGGATTTTATAAAAAGAACTGGAACAAACAAAGGAAAAGATTACGAAGTCATATTTATAGCAGATAGAATTTTAAAATTACTGAAAGATGCACACATTGAAGATTTTTATATATCTTCAAATGACAGTGAATTTGGATCATTTGATGACATGGTACTCGAAGTAATATACTGCAACACAACTAAAATAGACACGTATGCCCTACAATTGAAGCATAAAGACAACAACGATTTTACAATTAAAGATCTTAGGGCCAAAAAAGGAAATTTTAGTATTCGTGAATACTATCAAGATTGTTCCAACCACTCCAAGTTGTTGGACGGATCAGTTAAAACGATTTTATTTACTAACTGCCCATTACAAAAAAAATCAGACAAATTTCAAGTTTTTTTGACAAATGAAACAGCTAATATTGTACCGGCCGATATTGAAATCGAAGCTTCAAAACCTAATGATTTAATAAACACTTCGTCCAAAGGTGAATGGTATAAATTAAACTCAGATCCAAAGTATAACAACTTTTTTGAAAAATTTTTCTTATACACTGGACAATTAAACTTGGAAAACTTACGAATGAGATGTCTGAACGAATTTCAAAGCATGTTTCATTGTGATGAATCTGTGTTTAACGATTATTTAAACTTTTTGACCCAGTGGAGTATGATTGAAGGAAAAAAAGAAAAATTAACAAAATCGTGGATTAAACGAGTGATAGCTCTTCAAGTGTTGTCACCATTTATTAAACCGCTGTCATTTAAATTTGGATCAAAACTCGAACAGAAACGAAAAATACTACAAAATCGAAATTTCATGTAACAGTAAAAAATCCCGGCAATTAATTTGAGTGAAGGTGGAAGGTTCGTCGTATTAAGTCCAAATATGCAATTTGAAGAAAAAACTCATTTTCAATGCTTGTCCAATTTAAAAATCGAAGAATCAATTTATGAAGACATTTTAAACAATTTCACCATCTCCTTAGAAGGTCAAAGAGAAATACCCTTGAGAGTTTTACTTCATCAAAATAAACATTTGGAAAATATCATTACAACTGATCATCTGGTAGAAATGCTTGAAGGCCCACTCTTGGTTGGTAAAGCAAAAGAGGTTTTACCTCCCCACTACGTCACAAGAACATTTTCCCGAATCATGATCAAGTTGCAATATTTGATCCACTTTCATGAAAATACTGTGATTATAATTTCGCACGTGCAAAATTTAGATATGTTTAAGTTGCGTTTCAAGCAAAATAAAATTGTCGTGTTGAATACCAAAGAAGAATATGGAGAAGGGAAGAAAGTGATTTACGTCTGTCAAGAGGAATGCGCCTCTGAACAATTTCAAGAGTTATGTAGTCAGAATCCCCAAGCGATAAACTGTCATCATTTTAGATATTTCAACGAGAGTTTAGAGTGGATTCGAAGCAAGAACGGTGTCGAAGAATTGCGAGAGTTTCAACTTAACAGTGACGAGAATTTGGAAGAAACGGAATTTTTTGACTATCCAAATAACAACCTTGTTAACGTCATATGTGAAAATCCAGGAATGGGCAAGACAGTTCTGATGAAAAGTTTGAAAATTAACAGACCGTCGAAATGTTGGACAATCTTGATTTATTCAAGAAATCATGCTTCATATTTCCGAAAAAATGGGTCCGATGTTGAAAATTTTCTAAATTATATTGTAAACGACAGTTGCAAACATTACACATGTTTTGAACAAACAGTTTTAAAATCTTTTGTTGACAATGGAAATTTTGAATTAATTTGGGACGGACTGGATGAACTATCCGACGTTATTTTAGGACATATAACGGATGTTATTAACGGCATCATGAAGAAAGGTCACAGACAGTGGATTACGTCTCGAAATAATTTGGTACAAAGGTTGGAAAGAGAATTCAGCGTGTTTTCACGACCAGTACATCAATTCAGCGAGGAAGAACAGAAGAAATATATCAGAAATCGTTTAAGTTGTTCTGAAGATGAGTTATCTACTATTTTTCAAAAAATTCAATCAAATATCCAACTGCTTCCCAAAAACACCATTTTGGGTATACCACTACAAATTTATATGATAACTGAGCTATTTTTTGAAAATATTGATAAATATTTAGCCTTATTGTCAAACATTTTTACAGTCGCAGATCTGTACGAACACTTTGTAGAAAAAATTATTTACGATAACTACAAAGAGAAAAAGGATTACAATTTTGATATTGACGCCAATTGGGAAGAATTTGAAGCAAACAAAATAACAATGTTAGATTATTACCAGAAAATAGCGGTTCAAGTATATTTAAAAGACGAATGCAATTTTGATCCGCTTACTCAAAAATTTTTGACAAAAATTAAAAACACCAAAGACCCCATTGGCTTCATTATAAATGTAACAGAAGATGACAACCCTCAATTTCTACACAACTCTTACGGTGAGTACTTTGCCGCTTTGTGTTTAACAAGTCGCGAAAATTTTGCAAAAATTCCAAACGAGTTTTATGTCAATGAATGGTATCACAATATTCGGTTTTTCCTTGATTTAATATTAGCCAAAAATTGCAAAGCTCACATAGCAGTCTTGTATAAAAACAGTCTACTGTTAGAACAATGCACGGAAAATGACATTTTACAAAAAGATAAAGCTGAACGAAGCAGTTTGGAAGTATCTTGTGCTTGGAGTAAAAAATATCCTCAATTAGAAACGATGAAACGGTCCAACTATTACTTTATAACAAACGCTGCTGTTTATAATCTAAGTAAAGAGATTTTTGAGAATTTTGATAAAAACGAAATTGACAAATTTTCGTCAAAATTTGACAAATGTGACTTGTGGTTAAAAAAAATTTTGCTTCTCTTTCCCTTTATGATACCATTCTGTGAAAGCATATTAGATGACGTTCATGGTCCCACACTTTTGTACTATGCAGTAAAGTTTGATTACGGATTTGTATTTTCATATTTCAACCCAATTCCTTTTATTAAAATATCAAATTCCTCAACAACGCTATTAGATTTTGCAATAGAAACATTAGCTTTCAATTGTATAAAATATTTAATGTCAAATCAATTGTATAAAAATCTCGTGTTTGAAAACGAAAAACTTTCATACAAAATTTGTCTTCAGCAATCAACCGAATTGTTAAGAATCTTTATTGATTACGGGTGGGATTTAAATCAATTACATGCTTCAAATGGAGTAGGAGTTTTGCATTATGTTTGCAACCGGGGAGGTGACTTAACAATTTTTTATTTTTTGCTTAAAAATAGAATTCAAGTTAATAAACCTGATCAAAGGGGAAAATTACCTATTCATTATGCCTGTTTAAACAACGACATGTATGTGGTAGAAATGTTACTTATGAATGGTGCAAGAGGTGATATTCCAGATGAAAATGGTAAAACTGTTATCCATTATGCCTGCCAAAGTGAAGAATACGGTCCTTCCATTATGAAGTTACTATTTCAGAATGGTTTCAAAATTGATCATTATGATCAAAATATTACAACAGCAATATTTAATGTTTTTTCACATAAAGGGATCGAAATTGTAAAGACACTTGTCGAAAATGGTTTAGATATGAATATTTCTGATCAGAATGGAAATCTAGCGATTCATCACGCATGCATGAACGAAAAAAACGGTTACAAAATTATTAAATTTCTATTGGAAAAGGGCGTAAAAATAAACAAAGTAGACGCAAACGGCAAATTATTAATTCATTTTGCCGCTCAGCGGGGTTGGACTGATATTTTACTTACTTTGATTCAAAATGGCGCCGATTTGAATCCCTCTGATTGTGATGGCAAACGGCCCATTCACTATGCCTGTGATTTTGGGCATATTGACAGTGTCGGTTTATTAATTCAAAGTGGTACAAATGTACACCTTGCGGATAGTCAAGGTAGAATGCCTCTCCATTATGCCTGTAGAAGTGAATCAATTGAGACAGTAACATTATTAATTCAAAGCGGAGCAACTGTGAACGTTAAAGATAAGGAAGGCATAATGCCGATTTATTACTCAACTCAGAGCAATATTATCAAGTTGCTTATTCAAAACGGTGCAAGCGTGGATATGCCCTTTCCAGATGGGAGAGTCTTAATTCACTTTGCTGCTGCGAAAGGATGGACAGATATTGCAATGTTTCTCATTCAGAAAGGAACAGATGTAAATGTGTGTGATAAAAATGAACAAATGCCGTTACATTATGCCTGTCGTTACGGTTTTATGGAAGTCGCAAGTTTGCTGATTCAAAATGGCGCCAAGATAAGCTACAACAAAGAAGGACAAACTCCTATTCACCTCGCTTGTAAATCAAGTAGCTTAAATATTATTCAGTTGTTTATACAAGAAGGTGTAAACATGAGTATCCCTGACAAAAATGGAAAAATGCCCATCCACATCGCTTGCGAGTTAGACACAACCAAAATTTTGAAAGAACTAGTAGAAAATGGGTGCGAGATTGAAGTTTCTGACTACAATGGACTATATCCAATCCATTACGCTTGTCGCAATATTTTCAACGGTGACAATCTTGTAAAATTTTTGACTTTAAATCGAGCAAATGTAAATGTAGTTGGTGGTGATGGAAAAATGCCCATTCATGACGCGTGTCAGAATGAGGACTACGGTTACGATATAGTAAGAATAATTTATTCTCGACAAAACACAATCTCGATAGAAGACTATAAAATTCTCTTCGATTATGTCTGCAAAAATCGTTTCAACGGGTTTGAGATTGCAAATTTTTTTTTAAAGACACCTAAACGGCTTGTAGAATGCAGTGCTGATGAGGAAAGAAAACTACAAATGTGTCTTGCGTTTGAAAATAATCGAAGTGATATTTTGAAGTTAATTATTACAAGTGGTGGTGTATCGATAAATGAATCTGATTCTGAGGGGAAGCTGCCGATTCATATTGCGTGTGAAAAAGACTGGCCCGTTGTCACCAGAATACTTATTGAGAGAGGTAGTAAGATCGATGTTGTTGACAATAGAGGAAGAAGACCTGTTGATTGTGTACCTAAAGATTCGTTGCATTATAGGGAATTTTTAAAAGTTTTGCGAATGAACGATCAAGAATAAATCAAAAATTATTTTAGTCTGTTTATTATTCGATTAAACTACGAGTGCTATTACCACCCTAATTTGTTCAGTTTTCTCAAGTTAAAATTATATATTTTTTTTAATAATTATATTTTCCCACGTTTTTATTGTTACAAATTTAAACAGGTGATAGTATATTTAATTTTAAGACAAAAGTTTCCTATGAACATGTATCAAAAAAATGCAAAATTACCCTTTACCCCCCAGTTTAGGACTCCCATGAGTAAAACATTTTATCTTCGATTCTGTTTGTAGGTATAAAGATTATCAGTTGTACCAAATTTTGTAATTTTATCCACAATGGTTGCTGAAATATTGGCAAAAATCCATTAAAAGATGTAACCTTTCAGGGGATGTAGCTCCCTTATTTAATATTTTTCGATACATCTTTATAGGAAACTTTTATCTTAAAATTGAATATTCTATCACCTGCTTAAATTTGTAACAATAAAAACGGAACAGTCTGTATACGAAAACGACATTTTCTATACCCACGAAAAACGAACGAATCGCATTATTTTTCTAACACACGTGTGTGGTAGGTAAATAACGTAAGAGGTTGTGCGATTGGCGGAGAGCTCTAGACGCGACTGACAAATTGTGCGTGATTGACTGTTTGTGGGCTATGTGCATTGTTTTTGACTTTTATTTTCCCCTTCCTTCAAAACTTACACAAAGTTACAAAACTTATTAATCAATTACAAAATTAAAACCACCAACTGTTTAAATCTAAAGCAGCTTAGGTGACAGAAATATTAAATCGTTTCATTGAAAATAATGGTGTTTTTTTTTCTTGGGGTTTTCTTTCCACTGAGTTAGAATAATAAAATTATAAATACAGATTTGCTCGTTTTAGGTGAAGCAAAAATTGTTTTCTCTTTGCAGTTTTGGCGTAAAATCAAAGATAATTTTTTTCTTCTTGTAAACTTAATCCGAGAGACATACTCTATATATAAATGACATATGAGTCCGGAGAAGCACTTCTTTACTGACTGGACTATTTTTTTACTTTACGGACAATATAAATTAAAATATTTTGAACATATCGTGGGCAATGTGACAATATCTGATAACCCGCATTTTTTTTAGTTTTTTTTTTATATTTCAACAATGTAATTTTATCGTCTTTTATTACTAGCAGTAATTTGAATAAAAATACTTAACTAAATGTTTAAAAGAATTACTGTAATATCAATATATTATTATCAACTGAGCATTTGCCAAATTACCAAAAAAATATCATTTGTCACTTACGACGTATTGTCATGCTGTTACAATAAAAATTCAAACAATTTCAAAAAATGGTTCAGATTATAATATGAAGTTGGTATTCAAGAGGATGTATATTTGTTTAGATTTCTTTTAAAGTAGTACATCTCAATAATTTATATTTTCAAAATAAAAATGGTCAGACTGCTATGTTAATTAATGGCTTGTTGATTACTTATACAGGATGCGCCAGGACTCGCGCGACAGTGAAAAATTTCATGTAAGGTAAGATAACAGGAACATGAAAAAAATGTTAAAAATATTCTTCCTATACCTAAAAATTTCGAAATTATGAGAGTTTAACTTTTGAACTTTGACTCTATTTATTTCTGTTGGAAAAATAATTTTCCAAGTTTTTTTGCTACAGGCTATTAGAAGAGCAAACAAGTAAGCTGTATCATAAATTGTAACTCTGTTTAATGTTATTTGTGGCTTTTATTGGCAAAATTTTTGTACCTTTACTAAATAATTGTAAAAAAACATATACAAGATCATCAGTATCAAAAAATGTCAAATGTCAAAAGATCAATGTCAAAATTTTTCTCAGGGGTGCGAGCTTTGACACACTCTGTATGTATCATATTCATATTTTATATCTTGTTTAAGCATTTTGTGTTAATTTTTGTGATTAATAAAATTTTTAACATTTGCTTTAAGCTATTTTTATTGTTTTACTTTTTTATGTCTATTTGATAAAGCAAAAAACTTTCATATTAGAAAAGCCTATGTATAGGTAATACCGTATGTTTATACCGTAATAAAATTTTGGATTTATTATTTGTTTGGTGTTATAAATAGGTACGTGTAGCATATTTTCCAAACAATTAATTAATTAAATGGTGTAAGAATTGTTATGTCTGGTTGATTTTTTTGATGAAAGATCATTAAAAAAACGCACTGTTTTCAGAGTGTTACTTAGCTCCTTTATATAGTATTTTTCGATACATAGTTACAGGAAACTTTTGTCTTAAAATTGAATATTCTATCACCTTTTTTAATTTGGTAACAATAAAAGCGGAACACAGTGTATTATTAATTGGTTGTCGTTGATTTTATCCCTGCGAGTATAAACCACACGAGTCTGTAGGATGTTTTTCTGTTCTATAGAATAAAGTTACTTTTATCTTCGTATTTCAAGAGGTCACTTGTTACTAACAATTGTAATTGTTTATAAATTATGCATTAAGGTAAATATTATTGTAATGTCCCGGAAATTACATGTATACGCAAAATTTCAGCTTGTTCGGAAAAGAGGAACTGTTTTTTTGACTCGCAAAAGCTTTTAAAAACGATTTTCCAATGGACTATTAAATTTTACAGTTAAAGCAGAAAATGTTTTTCCTTTGCAGTTTTGGTGTAAAACCAAAAAAATTCTTCTTGTAAACCCAATCTGGAGACATACAGTATATTTTATTGTTATTTCCAAAAATTCGCTTTTTCTTTTTTGTATATAGCTCTTAAAGATAATAAAAAGTTATTTTTTTTCACGAGTCCCAACAATTTAAACAATTAAAAGATAAACAATAAAAAAAACGAGAAATTACCTAAAATGTGCAAAAGAAACAACAAACAATTTTAACCAATTACATTATCCAATATTTATTGGAACTATTGAAACTGAAGATTTCATTAAAATACGAATGTCAATGACATTTTCAAAAAATGGAATCACCGATCCCAATATTTCTACTGAATCATATTTTCAGTCAATAAAATTTTGAAACAACTAGTAGGAAATGGTATATCCCTTTCTGTTTGCATTATTTGTAGTCATTTGTTACACTTATAAAAATAATTATTTCATGTTTATGTTTGCAACACGACAAGATAACATTATTTACGAGTATACATTTAGAAAAATAATAAAAACGTTTTTGGGATTCACACAGTAGGCAAGTCCATTCACACTGGACTTTCCCCAATACCCAAGCTGTATTCTTTAATCTACCGATCCTATTTTCATATAAAAAGACTGCAGCTCGTAAATTCAAAAACAGTTTACAACTGACTTCTTTTCAAGCAAAATCGACAAAAACAATTCAAAATGGTTAATAAAACTAGTTACTACTTCCTGGTTTTTGCACTTGTTGCATCAACGCTGGCCTTGCCAATCGAAGAGTACAATTATGACTTTGAACAAGCTTACGAACCTGATGATTACCAACTTTATCGAGCAGGACGCTTAATAGAACCAGTTGAAGAATACCAATACACTCCAGAGGAAAKTTCGTATGAAGAACACAGAGCAAGACGTTCATTACAACCTGGTGCTCCAAATTTCCCTGGTCSTTCACAACAAGAYGGAGGATGGTCGGTTAACCCCAGCGTTTCGAGAGACGACCGTGGAAATACCCAGACCAATGTTGAAGTTGGCCATAAGGGAAAAAATCACGATCTTAATGCTGGATGGGGAAAAGTTGTTAGAGGACCTGGGAAAGCAAAACCTACTTGGCACGTGGGTGGAACTTACAGATGGTAAAGAAGAAAAAAACAAACAGCCAGAGTTATGTCTTGTTCTATTACCACTATTTATAAAATAAAATGTATATACAAAGTGTTCCGTTTTTATTGTTACAAATTTAAACATGTGATAATAATATTCAGTTTTAAGATAAAAGTTTCCTATGAACATGTATCAAAAAATGCTACGCAAGAGCACCTCCTCAAACGGGTGCATCTTTTAATGGATTTTTTTCAATATTTCAGAAACCATTGTAGATAAAATTACAAAATTTGGTACAACTAATAACCTTTATACACCCAAACGAATTCAAAGATAAAATGTCGAAATTTGTACTTAGGAGCGTCCTAAACTGGGGGGGTTTATAGTAAAAAGTACCCTAACTATTTTGGCTGTTGGTACTTGCCACTTTCAGCCACACAATTCTAAATTTCATAGTTTTTCACAAAAATAGATCTCTTGCGTTTTTTCGATACAACTTACCGTTTTTGAGTAAAATCAGTTTACAATATGTGTTACAGATCAAAAAGAGAATAAAAATCAAAAATTAAATTCGTTTAATACGCTTGTGATTAAAATTTTCGACAACTGGTGTTTAAAAGTTATCAGCTGTACCAACTTTTGTAATTTTATATATTCTGCAATAGTGAAAAAACTCCATTAAAAAACATCTCTATTAGGGGGTGTAGCTCGCTTACATAACATTTTTTGTCACATATTCATACTAAACTTTTATCTTAAAATTGAATATTCTATCAGTTTTTTTAAATTTGTAACAATAAAAACGGAACACCTTGTATAACAAGGTTGATAATAGTTATTTGTATTACAAGGGAGAAAAGTATATATTTTTCTTCCACAGGTGGAAGTGGTAGAGCCACCCAGGGAGGAAAAGACACATTCCTCCAATATAATACATATTTTTTCTACTCCCACATCTAAAACACGGATTACGTATATCTTTCCATGACGCTAAGTGACTTTTTATATATATCTTGACAAGCCGTGACTAATATGCGTATCAGTTACGTTGCTAATAGCAACTGTCATATTAGTCACGATCTGAAGTGTATAGACTTCTCTAGACATTCGTTTACACCTGATGAATGTTTGCATCCAGTTATATTAGTTTCAAGTGTATACACTTCAAGTTCTTTCACATTAACATGATTTCCTCTTATTTCACTGTAAGTATAACTTTTTGTTAATTCATCAATTACCGACATTTCATCAGTAGATATGACCTAGATATTCCATAAATTGTTTATAACTTTTTCTATTTATTTGAATAAAAAGGTAGAAGAATCAGACAAATGAATATCTCTAATAATATGCTGTGGATTGTTCATTTGAATACCATCACTATGAAATAACTTTAGTCAACTGTGTTTTTTATATAAGTAGTTAATTAATTTTTTTAATATACCTTAAAAATTACACAGTTCAGTTCTTAAAATTTGGACTACATAATTTTAATGCACCTTAAAAATCTAAAAATTTTAATAATGAATTATGGCACTATCGATTGCTTTTACACCCAAAAACAATTTTGTGGTGAACAGGTCTATATATGTACGTTAGAGACATGAAGCTGAAAAATCAATGAATCTTCTCATAAGTTTTAAGAAGCTTCCCAGAGAAATAAATAAAACACACCAAATTTAAGCTTTCAATCTATTCTACTAGCAATAGCAGTGTACAGTGATAACCAATACAAGCATTTATAATGTCCTTAAAATACAAGTCGATAACATTAGAGTGACTTATTGAATATATTTTGAAAACCTTGAATACATAACTCCACTATGAAAAACTAAAATCTAACCTAAACTAAATCAAATAAGTGAAAATAAGTAAAACCAAACCAACAACCGCAATAAAAAAGAACAAATAACCAAACCGAAAATCTGTATTTGCTATATGCTAGTTGTTAGCTGACATGATGTTAATACTCTGATTAACGTCCAAAAGCTGTCGCAAATACGATTTATCCCTCATCAAATCTCCTACTTGTAGCAAAATATCCAAAAGGGAACCTTCCGGTAGATTTAATTGCTCGTTGCAAATGGTGATAATGTTAAGTGCCTTCTCTTTCACCTACAACGAAACACATTTATCTTAAAACTTATCACAAGTCGTAAAACCTACCTGAAACGGTTCATTAAGGGTGGAAAATTTCATTTTCATCCTTTGTTTGCCCATATCTTGATAAAAGATGGTGAATTCGTCACAGTTTTCTTTAACTTTAAAATAGACACCGGCTATCAAATGCCCCTTTTGATCCCTTGACAATAAACTTCTGAAATTGTACACTAAATTCCTGCGTTCTGTTACATCAACTGCGGTCAAATAAGGATGTGCGACGTAAATTAAACCAGTAAAAGTTTCCTGGATTCCGTTTCGTGTTGTCCGTTCGTTCCATTCTACGAATTTATCGTTCAAGGGGGAGAATTGGTAGTTGTATTCCTTGCAGATGTTATTTTCTTCAGATTGGATAAACCAACCGGTGTTGGGATATGCTCGATCTTGCATGATGGTGACAACTCTACTAACATGATAGCCAGGATCACACAATAGCAATCCTTGTCGTTCATTGATTTTAAATTTGAGACATAAGAGGACGTGTTCTTTTTCTAAATCGTAAGCGGCAGTGTCTAATCTTTCACTCAAGGCGGTATATTCGCTCAAAGCTTCAATATTTTCCTCACATGATACTAAACACAGGTGCTGACTAATCCCCGGAAAGCTCAATTCTAGGTGATGAAGACGATTCCATAACTCTAAAGCCAAGCCGACGCAAGTGTGATGAGCTGGAGTGATTGGAGGCGCATAACTAAAACCCCAACCTTACAACCACCATTTAGTTCACAATCTAAACTTACCTTTGAAAGTACTTGAAGAAGTTACAACATCCACTCTTCTTAAAATTCTGATACAGATCGATGAAATTCCCCACAGTGTTATAATTGTGCTCCTCCAACAACTTCTGCACGTGTAGTTCGATTTTGGCGGCCAAATTCTCGAAATGGGTTAGTGATTCGAGCTGGTAGCAGTTTTTGGACTTGCACGACCATCTGGGCAATGGCAGTGGATGATCAATGGGCCATGATCCTTCGATTTGTGTTCTTTCGATGAGTTCGTACAAGTCGGCATTGTTGTTGGTGAAAATGTCATAGGCCCCTACAAAGGGGGGCACGGCTGGCCCCCCTAGGAGGGCGCAATCTGGACCCCAGCTTCCAGCTTGTACGAGTCAACTCGGCCATTCGCAGCCCCAGCGGCCGACGGTGGGTACGTAGGCACGCTCGGCGCTCGTCTCCCCCACTGGCAGCAAGGAGCCCCCATTTGGGGTGTCCCGGGATGGTTGGACAGCTGCATCGTGAACAGCTGAACTAGGTAATGAAGAACTTAACGGTTGTTTCTCACGCTCTGTGTACAAGAAAAATTGTTGATTTCGGTTTAGTATGCACAAATAATGTTGTTTTTATTCCAAGTGATTTTGGCTGACCTTAAGATAAAAATTTAGTACGGCAAACAGTTAAAACAAAACTATTAATTATGAACACGTAACGTAATCTGTATGTTTTTCTGAAAAGTTATAAAAACTTTACTGTTTGTATATGTTTGTTTTTAAATGAATGCTAAGCTCGATGAAAAGTAAGGCCAATATCCCATTTTTAGAAGCGATAACTTTTATTTTCTTAATTAGAAACTTAAACTTACTGGCTTGCTCTCCTTTAAAATTTTGAAAAGTTGGAATGCAGAGAACTGAAATCAAAATTTTTTACAACAGTATAAATAAGTGATTTTTCGACAATTCATATAACAAATCGAACCGTTTGATGATAGATAACATCCTTAATATGAAATATGAATATGAAAGATACTCAAACACAGGAATATTTCGTAGAAATTTCAATAGTAGATTACATACCCAAGTGGTGCTTCATTACCAAGACAAAATTTGATCAACAAAGCACAAGCACCGCGATCAGCAATAAGCCTTGATACGATGAAGCAACGACCACCAAGGTTTGTATACTATTTTATTCACAATCATCCTCCTTGAAAAACAGAAAGCCAATAAAGAATTTATCAAATTTTGAAATTGCATTTCAAATTTTTATTAAGTAGGCTATAACAAAATATTCTTTTTTTTTCAAAAGACATATGTTAAGTCGTTAGTTAATGTCCGTGGAGAGACATTAATGTCTTATGTTAATAGGGAAGTTGCTGAACTCCCCAACTTGAATTGTCATATTTCATATTAATAGTTGAAATGTCATTCTCCTACTTTCTAACTTTTCACATGCAATGTTATTTGATTATTAGTATTATTACTTTATAATTGTGAATATAAATATGCATTTATTTCGTTGAAATTAGATATAAGATGTGAAAAATCGTTAAATTATAGTAGCACTGTTATAACATTTGATCTTAACCAATCGCACTTAAAGTAAGATTTAATACGTAGAACAAACAAAATTAAACACAAATCGAGAATAAAACTTAATCCAAATGTTTAAAATTAATGACAAATCTCTGTCATCATCACTTTCCCCCTTTATAATTAAATCTTCCACAACATTTTATAAAACTGTCAGCACAACTGTCAGAATAAAAAAATCAAATTCTTATAAAATTTTTCAATTTTAAATCTGACCTCATTGGTTGCGAAGAAAGCCAAATGGACGAGGCAGATAAAAAATAACCTGTCACAGTTTTGACTTAAGAAGAGTCGATTTGATAATTTTTTGCACGTCGGACAGTAAAAATCAACTTTTCTTACGTCTGTGACTGTGAATTTTGACGGAAGTCAAAATTCCCTCGTAAGGGAGATAAATGAGTTTAGCTCAAGTCGTGCAAAAAATAGTATTTACACCACTTGATTGAAATGCTATTAATTATTCCTTTGGTGCGGCACCTCAGGAATGATCATGCATTTCTCTCCATTTCCGTATAATATACAATTATTTTAGATTTTATTAGCTACATTTGCAAACAAAAATAGTAAACGATTTTAAACAGTTTTACTTAGTGAAGCACATAATATCTAGTTTTAAGAATTTGGCCTCGAATTTTTAAACTTTGGCATGAGATACTGCTACGTGATAACTGTTAATAGGTATAATAAACTATTAACCTTTAACCTTTAGGGTTATTAGAAAAATTGCATTTGCAAAACCACTTTCCGGACTTTCATTTTCCCACTTTCTCTATTTAGCTGATTTGATTATATCTTGAATCTGAGCCAAAATCACCAGGGAATTAAATATAAACATAAAATCATAGCTTAGCAACTGTGTTTGCCAAAATATTGTTGAAAAAAAAAATTCCAGCATTTTATTAAATTTTCTAAAACTGGTGATTAACAAAACTGGATCATAAAATGCGTCATCGCATATGCGTTGTTATTCCGCGAAAATTGCGACACGTGATGTTCGCAGCGAAATCACTTCCTTGAACAATGGCTCATCAAATTATTTCTGTAGCAGAGTGTACATTTACACACCCCTTATTTAGGATTTACAACAGTTCAAGGACGTTCAGCCTTCGAACCACTTCGTTGTGACGCAAATTGATAAATAAATAGCAGTTTAATTACTAAGAAATTAAAATTAGCAAGAAAAAAAAAGATACTCACCCATACAACGGTCAAAATAAAAGTAAGGAAACCAAGAAACAACGAGGTTGTAGCGAGCTACTACTCTCTTCTTGCTTTACTTTGAAGTAAACTGAATTATCTGTGAAAGGTAGTTGGGGGATATTTAAATGGCCGTGGGTCCCCCCACTCGTGTGACGCAAAGTCGCTAAACAATAGAGCCCCCGCTATTATCGGAGCTGTCTATCAAATGACGTTTTAGCACTTAATCACTATAGCACACAGTCCGCAAAAGGTATTGATAAACAAAGTGTTTATGGGAATTGCACAAGTTATTATTAATCACTACGATGACTTCGGGACTTGGAAATATCATTATTGTGCCGAATTTTATCATATCTGAAACAAAAAATATATATGTATTACTTGCTTATCGCCTAATTGCAGTTACATCGATTTGTACAATAGAATCATCGATTTTGAAATTATGTGATAAAATAGAGAATATTGGAAAAGGTCAATAATCTCTAAATACACCTAAATATACCTACCGTGTGCGGCAAATAATTTCTGATCAAAGTAGCCTATGACAATGACAATCGTCTGATGAACGTTTTATACAGGGTGTTCCGTCTAAACCCCACATTAGAAGTATTGGGAGTTCGAAAAATCATATTCAAGATGGCGGCACTCGGTCTTAACTTTCTTATTTTAAATGGAAAGCTATATTTTTTACTCCGTTTTTGGCTTAATCAGGTCATTTTAAGGGAGTTTTCATCAGCTTTCCATATACCTAAATTTAGCCGTTTTTGAAAAAAAAATTTTGGATCTGCACCTTCCATTTTAAAAATCGGTAACTCTGCCATTTTTTAAAATTTTGAATTCGTTTTTTTGGCGTTTGAAAGAGAAGGTTTAGGTCTTTCTTCCGGTGTTTTCAAATTTTGAAAAAAAAATTAACAAACCTTAAAATTTTAAAGTTACTTTTGTAATAATTCAAATACCCATAACTCAAATTTTCTAAATAAAATACCCCAATTTTTATTTTACTAAATGGAAGAGAATTTAATTCTGCATCGATCTGTATTAACATTCCCTATACCTAAATTTAATAATTTTTAAGTTATGGTGACTTTTTGTTAAGACTACCGAAAATCTATTACTAGCCAATTAAATGCAATGCACAATTAAATTCTCTTCTATTTAGTAAAATAAAAATTGGGGTATTTCATTTGAAAAAATTGAGTTATGAGTATTTGAATTATTACAAAAGTAACCTTAAAATTTTAGGATATGTTATTTTTTTTCAAAATTTGAAAACATCAGAAAAAGGATCTAAGCTTTCTCTTTTAAACGCCAAAAAACGAATTTAACATCTTAAAAAATGGCAGAGTTACCGGTTTTTAAAGTGGAAGGTGCAAATCCAAAAATTTTTGAAAAACTCCAAATATTTCAAAAACGGCTAAATTTAGGTATAGGGAAAGCTGATGAAAACTCCCTTAAAATAACCCGGTTAATTCAAAAACGCAGTAAAAAATATACCTTTTCATTTAAAATAAGAAAGTTGAGACCGACTTCCGGTATAACCGGAAGTGCCGCCATCTTGAAAATATTTTCATTTAGGAGAACTTAATGGTTTATGGCTATGTACCAATTTTCAAATAAATACGATTATTCCAACTCCCAATACTTCTAATATGGGGTTTAGACGGAACACCCTGTATACCTACCGTGTGCTGCAAATAATTTCTGATCAAAGTAGCCTATGACAATGACCAATGACAATCGTCTGATGAACGTTTTATGTATTTAACGTGCCCCTCATAGGAGTACAAAACTTTTTTGTATAGAACCTTTGTTCAGTTGAAATAAGAATAGTATATCTTGTAACAAGTTTAGAATATGGCATGTTCTACAGAAAAAGAAAAGTTCGTCTCACGAGCCGAAGACAAATGCGACGGTTCACGAGTTCGGGATTTGCCATTCTAAACGAGTTCCAGACTATACTTTTTCTACGACTATAAATACAAACTAAAATTTAAAAATTTTAGCAACTGTAAAAATGGCGCTACCTGTGACCATCTAACACTAGTGTGAGAAAATTCTTGCACAGCGTTAAAGAATATGATTATTCTGTTATTGAAAAACAACCAAAAAGATTGTTATTCTACACTGCCCGCCAAAATTAACCGGACACCTAAAATTTTACGATTTTTCACATTGCAATATTTTTATTATTCTTTGTCGGATTTCGACGAAGGTTCGGCTTAAAGAACGAACGTTGCAGATTATTGTAATTTAATTCAACAACATTTCCAGTTTTGTCATGTAAATGTTATACTTAAAAGACGAAAGCACTGTTTTTTTACTATTTTTCATACTGAACTGTGGTGTGCGGCAGAGACAAACTTAAGTTTTTTTCAGATTATTATCCGTTCTTTTCTGAATGAGGACCAATTTGTTTCAAAATTTTATCTTCTGGTGTCCCAGAAATACAAAGCATTGAAAAAGACGTTGCTTTTCTAATGTTACTAAATATTCGTACAGAAAGTAGGCTACATAAAAAGGTAGTTAAACCAAAGAAGCACAATTACGTTTTTGAACACAAAAATCTAAAAAACTTCGTACTTCAAAGGATTACAGCAAGA